CTTCCTTTCCCGCTGTTCTCCTGGGGCAGACAGCACTTTTCTGTCTTCTGCCTTCTCTCTTTTTCTGTGTCTCTTTACCGTGTCCCGTCACCCCCATCCCCCTTTCCTTTCTAGTAAAACTTCTCACTAAGGTCTGTCTGCCTGGCATGTTTGTCCCTCCGCCTCGGTCACCCTTGCCTGCCATGGAGTCCGCCAAGGTCCCCTCAAGCGTATCATAACAACAGGAACACCTTGAAATGTGTTTAAAAACCCTGGCTCTGAGAGCTGTCACTCAAGTGAGAGGCTACAGAAAAGTATCGGAAAGACAAGTAGGGGAGACCAGATGCCACTCGATTCACCCCGAGGTGGATTCAAGGGTAAAGACTGTGGAGCAAAGCCCATGGCACTACCTCCTGGAGTCACCAACATGCCAGTTTCCGGGAACCTAAATCGTGCACTGCTCCCAAAACCTTCACCACGAACAACCGAGCATGCGCATAACATCCGGGTTACTCTATGACAGCCACGAAGCCAAGTGAGAGGAATGACATAGTTGGCTCATGAGAGAGGGGATTTCTGGGCCAGTGGAGACTCTCCAAACCACGCACAGCGTCTAGACATCAAATGGAAACCATTTGCTGATAGAATCCGTGTCTATGCCAGACCTAATGATGCACACCTGCAATCCCAACACTTGGGAGGTAGAAGTAGCAGGAGGATCAGATGTTAAAAGTCACCCTCAGCTACGTGAGTTCAAGACCAGCCTGGATCATATGAGATCCACTCTCAAAATACAAAGCAATCCGTGTTAATGTAACTATGCATATTCACCACACACTACTGTACAGTAGGGCCCCATTGAGAGCCTGTGTAACTGCTTAGATGGGGTGGGGGGAGAAACATCAAAACTATTTTAGAAGACAAAACAAAGTTCTCATTGGGCGTCCTATTGCTTCACTACAACCACAAAATGGTGTAATCGCCCCCTTCAAAATAGAATAACAATTCCTAGAGTCATGCCTACATTATCCCGCATGCCTAAATGCAGATTGTTGTCCTAGGCTTATCTGTCAGATTGACTGACAGCCATGAAATTAAAAGAGAAAAGTGGATATTCATTAAGTAGAATGGCTCTAGAATTGAGCAGTGGGCTTCCTAAAGGACAGGGTCTCTGGAAGAGGACGTGACAGACACTCTTCCGTGGTCAGACAGTGTGGACAGCATGTGGTGTGGACAGGTCTCTGGTGTCTGAACTGAGGAGTCTTGGAGTCATCTGACCCTCACCAGGGAGGGGACAAGAGAGGGAGGATGAGAAGAAGGAGAACAGAGGCCAAGCCTGGCGGCAGTGAGGGCGGCCAGTGTGTGTGGTGAGACTCAGTTGTGCCAGGGAGATGCCAGAACTTCGGACTACGGATTGGAGTGGAGGAGAATGAAATGCGATGCAAAATAGTTCCTACTCACCAGTCCTCTCAGAGGGAAGAGAGGGCAAGGCAGAGAGAGAAAACAAGGTGCACTAAGATATTCTTCCCTAAAGGGTGACATCAACAAGTTTTCACTAGTATTTTCCACTTTCAAGGAGGTCCTGGTGGCATAGATGGATGCTCATCACTGTGCACTTTAATGCCCCACGGCACTCTCTCTCTCTCTCTGTCTGTCTGTCTCTCTGTGTCTCTGTCTCTGTCTCTCTTTGTCTCTCTCTGTCTCTGTCTCTCTTTGTCTCTTCTGTTTCTCTGTCTCTCTGTGTCTCTGTCTCTCTGTCTCTCTTTGTCTCTCTCTGTCTCTGTCTCTCTGTCTCTCTGTCTCTCTCTCTGTGTGTGTGTGTCTCTCTTTGTCTCTGTCTGTCTCTGTCTGTCTCTCTGTGTCTCTGTCTCTCTTTGTCTCTCTCTGTCTCTGTCTGTCTCTCTCTGTCTCTGTCTCTGTCTCTGTCTCTGTCTCTGTCTGTCTCTCTCATGCCTCTTGAGTCCATGCCACCTTGCACCTGACAGCTGACGAGTAATCAGCTCATATGTCTCTAACCTCAGATGTTCAATCTCAGAAATCACTGCAACTGGTGTTAGTGGACTGCAAATCTTCCACCGGAATGGCATCGATGCCACTGTTGGTAATATGGGTGACACCTTCAGGACAGACAGCCTCCATACTGGTGGTAATAAAGGCTAAAGTGGTGGCATTATTTCAGCCTTCAAAACTTGCCTCATTATTCAAAGGCAAGGCTCCTCCACCCAGGGATAGAGCAGGGCCTCCCTTCCTTACCCAGGGGGCCTTGACAAGCCTTGATGTTCTTAGTGCACTCAGAGCAGGCAAATTCCTCTCACCTGTGCACGTGTATGTATTTCTCTATAGGTCATCTGGATGTGCCAAGTGCTTCCCTGGGCATGGCACACAAACATATCTTACCACTGTGGTGGTGGTGGGGGGCAGTCTCCAGCAGCACAGGCTTTGACAGGAATCCACCGAGTCATCAAGGCTAGACTTTTCTATCTGAGGGGGGTTAGGGAAAAGGCACCCACAAACTCTCTTGATTCCCTTCTTTATTCTCCCTCTCTATTCTCTCTCTCCTCTCATTTTTTTTCACAGCTTTTATACCCCGACAGAATCTTCTAGGCAGTACGAGAGTCAAAATGGTTGCATTCCATTTCTCAAGTAAATGATTATAGGTAAAAACACGTTTTTCATCTCTCTCACATGATTAAACATTTTATGTATTACAGTTGAAAAATAAATTATCTCAAGAATCCACATACATTCATACCCAAGCAACTTGTTACAGATTGACCATTGGGCAAGCAAGGTGTTCTTGTCAGCTCTTTTACTGGCAGGATGCATTATAAAGAAAGGGCCAATTATTTTTTGCTTATCTTGAAAGGTAATCTTATAAGGAATCTTAAATTACAAACCTAAACTTTTATATGTGAAAAAGAATCAAACAGCTCTACTTTAAATCTTTAGGATATATATCAATTCATATATATATATGCATATATATACATATATATATATATCAGGAGATTGAGGGCAGAAATGGGTATAAGAAATTAATCGGGGCTGGAGAGATGGCTCAGTGGTTAAGAGCACTGGCTGCTCGCTCTTCCAGGGTTCCTAAGTTCAATTCCCAGCAACCACATGGTGGCTCACAACCATCCGTAATGAGATCTGGTGCCCTCTTCTGGCCTGCAGGTATACATACAGGCAGAACGCTGTATACATTACATAATAAATAAATCTTTAAAAAAAAGAGAAAATCATAACCTTTGGTCATGAAACAAACCTAGTAAGGAGAATATGTTAGTAATAATTGGGCTGCTTTGTTCTTGTTCTCTGACCTTAAAGAGTTCCTCATTCAACTGTGTGCCTTCCTAAAACTTTAGATTGTCTTCTTGGGTTTTTCGCCTCAAAATTATTTAACAAAAACATCTTGATCTAACTTTGTTATTTTCAAAGCTTTGTTTCAGCTGTGACACACTCTGAGACCTATGAACACATCTCCTGACATTAAGGTTAAAAGAATTTCAACTATCTGGGCCTCAGGGACTCAGTTGTTTTTTCTTAATCACTAACTTGAGCTACAATCTATGCAACTCCTTAAGTGAAATTCACAGACCCTGGCTGTGAAACATATCTGTGTATTTATTTTTATCCATCAAAACTCTGTATAAGCTTATCAAGCTAGACAGTATAGCTTAGAGAGGGATCATCTTCTTGATAATCCACAGGTAAAAATGCCCCATAGAGCAGGATGTTTCCAAAAGATAAACACATTATATTACATGCAGTAGACATCTCCCTACATCCACTCACACCACACTAGATAGCAGAGAAAAGAGAGCTGTGACAAATGTGTAAAGACAGAGCAGAAGCAAGAGACACCCCAGGGTCTGCCATGCCGAAACCTGATGATTCCTTCTGGTGGGCAGATACCTGGAACTTGAGTTGCAATTTGCTTCTCCTCTGGCATGGCCAATGGCAGTGTCTTTTCTCTGCAAGCCAGCTCCACAGTAGGAGGTCTTGCCATGCTCTTTGCCATACCCCAATATGACAAATGTGCAGTTTGTGCTTGTGCCCGGATCTCCAGAGTCCCTCCCTTTGCTGCCTTTACAGTAGGGACAGATGCACGTGTCCCACTGGGTCCTCTGACCAGCTTGGGGACAGGGCTCAGGGCTGTTCTCTTCTCCACCCGATGTCTCATTATGTGTCCTATGGAGGTCAAGGTGAACTCATCATCAACTGGGGCATTTTTGATAGCCAGTGGCAGACTGGGAGAAAGTTCTAGTTCCCTGAAGTACCCAGTTCTGAGGTGAATCACCCGGAGGCTTGGAATAGAGGAGAGCTGAGCAGCGTTTACACTACGCGGCAGGAATGGAGGGAGCTGAGGCAGTGGGTATCTGAGTGATACTGCTGCCGCTATTCTGCTTGGAGCAAATAGTCTGCCCTGGAGGCAAGTGATGGTCTGGGTCTGTGCATTCCCAACTTGGACTGGGAGGGGGGAAGCGGGAGGTCTGCTAGCTGACATGTCCCTTGACTCCCTCATTATTGGTGCTCAAATGACGATGACACCAGAGTCCGGAGGGTTTCCCAGGGAAATAGCTTGGGCACTGCCCTGATGATGGTGATGCTTGGAGGGCCTGAAGAGCTGTCCCCCTTGAACCAGCTTAGAGGAGTAAGGATTTGTGGTTACGGTGTCTGCAGGTTTCACTCCCTTGCAACGGCCTTCCCAGCGTCTGGTTCCACTGTATGTTGAGAACACCAGGCTCCCGTAGCCCACTGACCTGGAGCATCCGGCCCTGAGAGCTGGATCCTGATTATCTACTGGTGGTAAACGCCATCATTTCCATGTTGCTGGTGGCAGTGGTTGTTGAGTGCCTAATTGGCTCTGGCGCAAAAGGAGCAGGAACTATCGTGTGAAGACAACAAGACGGCAGAACTAATGGAAGTCCCTGAGGAGACAGACTGTGACATCATCCAGAGCTGATGGTCATGACTGCCTGAGAACTAGGAATCCGTGAGTCAAAGCAATTGCACAAACGCTGCTGACAGAGTAGCAAAATAATGCTTCCCTTCAGAGCCAGCAGGACATCAGGTCACATATGGCTTCTGTCTGAGGGCACATCAGTCAGACCTGATAGGTGATGATCCATTGATTTGCAGCTGGTATTATGGTCATTCAACCAGATCCATGGCCCGCCAGTTAGCTTGCATCTCTAAGGACCCTACCCAGGAGGGGACACAGTACAATTGCAGGGAGACGGGGGTCAAGTGCAGATGTTGGGAGAGGTGTTGTGGTCTTGGTGCCAGACCCTGTGCGAGCCACAGAGCTTATGGTGGCTTTGAAGAAAGTGGCTTGTCTCCAGTGCCCAGGCTGGTGAGAGAGAGAAGTGGGAGTTTCGGCCAGGGAGGACACCAAGCTGGCCGCGCCCTCTGTGGGTGTTCCTTGCAGCACTTGGCATTGTGAGCAGTGGTGTCAGTTGCGAGGGTCACAGGTGTGGTGTTCCCACAGTTCCTCTGTCCCTGGGCTGTGGGGCCAGCCAGTCTCCCACACGTCACCGGGTCCTTGCTCAGCAGGGCTCCTCGCAGATCCTGGAGTGATGGCCAGTCTGAACGTGTCCCTCTCTTTCTTTTTTGCCACCTGTGCCCTCTGTGAGGTGGCGAGGAGAGCATCCAAAGCCCTTCTCCCGCCGGACACCTACGTCAGTTTTTCCCGGGAGGCATTGGGCGCTGCCCAGCTGGCAGCCTGCTGCCTAGAGCTGCGTGTGTTGGTGGAACTTGGCCCCTGGGCCGGGGGCTTCGGGCCCGACCTGTTGCTGACCCTGGTCTTCCTGCTCTTTGTGGTGCATGGGGTCACCTTTGATGGGGCCTCTGCCAACCCCACTGTGGCCTTACAGGAGTTCCTCATGGCAGAGGCGTCGCTGCCCAGCACTCTACTGAAAGTGGTGGCCCAGGTGCTGGGCGCTCAGGCTGCCTGTGCCTTGACCCAGCGCTGCTGGACCTGGGAGCTCAGCGATCTACACATGCTGCAGAGCCTCATGTCCGTGCACTGCAGCTCAACCCTGCGCACGTCCATGTTGCAGGGCACGCTGGTGGAGGGGGCCTGCGCCTTCTTCTTCCATCTGAGCCTCCTCCGCCTGCAGCACAGCCTTCCTGTCTACAGGGTGCCTGCCCTGGCCCTGCTGGTCACTGTCATGGCCTACACAGGTGAGACTGCTCCCCTTTCTGCTGGACCTTCACTGATACCCCGCAGGGGACCCACAAGTCCTTGTAGTCACTTCTTGGGTCCCTGACAGGTGGGTAGGGACTGGAAGGCTAGACCCGGGTTTGAGTGCAGGGGGGCCCTGTACCATATATATTTCTGCAGTTCCTAGCTGCAATGTTCATTACATCTGGGGTAGCTGGAGCGGCCAGGCAGTTTAAGACTTGGTTACAGCTGTGCTCTGAATGCCCCTGAGCCCTCGAACACCCCCAAAAGGGTGACACATCTTATGATTTCTTATCCTGGGATCCACCTGGAGGGAGGCATCCCTAGATGGGATCCCAGGACAGGGATCCCAAGATGCTATTGACCAGCTGTTTCTAAGAGCTGTGGGTTCTGTGGATGTTTCTTCATGCCAGATGCTGAGGTTTCTTTCTCTTTCCTTTCTTTCTAAAGATCTGTTTATTTATTATGCAGTGTTCTGTCTGCATGTATGCCTGCAGGCCAGAAGAGGGCGCCATTACAGATGGGTGCGAGCCACCATGTGGTTTGCTAGGAATTGAACTCAGGACCTCTGGAAGAGCAGCCAGTACCCTTAACCTCTGCGGCGTCTGTCCAGCCCCAGAGCTGAGGCTTCCAAAGGCTCTTTTCAGGAGACCAAGATCCTAGGAAGCAGTAACAGCACAAGTCAATGCTGAGCCAAGCCAGCCCAAGACTTGGAGACCCATACTAGCAAGACCACAGGAAGGACCCCAGCACCCTGATCAGAATAAACTGAAGCCAGAAGTATAGAGAATGCGGGAGGGTGGTGACCTGCAGCAGAGTGGACAGGAATGGCTGTGCCCGGGCTGTGGGTCAGGGTTCCCACCTCCCACAGAAGAGCTGTCTGTGTCCTGCGCCCAGGTCTAGGCCCACACAGCCTCTGCCTGCCTGCCGGCTGCCATTGTCCTGCTTCCTGGTGTGGCCCGAAAGATTGTAGCTGGTTCAACTGCTTGCTCCCCTCACCCTGCTTCTCCCCTCACCCCGCTTCTCTCCTGAGGCCACTCAGCAGGTGACAACTTCTTTGTAGTTCTCCCAAGGCCTGAAAGTGACATCTGTCACCTTCGCTGTTTTCAGTCTCACCCTCCCTGTCTCGGCCTTGCCCCCATCCTTGTTTACTTTTTGTGTTTTGTTTTAATCCTCTCTCTGGCTCTGGCCCTCTCTTGGTGTGTCTGGAGTCTCAGGGTGAGGGGTGGGGAAGTGTGTCAGGCATCCCTGGCGCGAGCCTGGTCGCGGCTGCTCTCCTGGGACCTTTGGTCTTGGCTGCAGCAGCCCTGATCCCTTGTGCTCACCAGCATGCGACAGCTGTCCCCAGTGCCCTAGTGCTAAGAGCCCAATCCCATGTCCAGCAGTGTGGTCTCAGAGGTGGCAGCTTCAGTCACAGCCAGCCCATGAGAATTCTGTGCTTCTGTCCACAGCTGGGCCCTACACATCTGCCTTCTTCAATCCTGCCCTGGCCGCCTCTGTGACATTCCACTGCTCTGGGAACACCTTGCTGGAGTACACCCATGTGTATTGCCTGGGCCCTGTGGCAGGTGAGCGGTGCGGGCAAGGCTGGGCTGGGTAGTGTCCATGGGCAGACACAGACACACAGGGCATTGCTGGCTACAGATTCACCATGCTGCCACCCTTCCTGGCTCCCTGGGATCCTGGGGGTTGGGGGACAGGGATTTCAGATCTGTTCTCCTAGTCTCTGCAGTGTGGACAGTTGGAGGAAGTGACTAAGGTGGGTATGTCTGGTTTGGATTGTCACAGAGGAGAGGGGATGGTGTTAGGTGGAGTGTACGGTATGGAGAATTGGACCCTCCGAGGGCTCTGTATGGGCAGCAGGGACAAGCTCCACGAGTTCGAGTGTTTCTGGGGTTCTTTTCCTCTCGGGACATCCTCACATACCCAGTTAAAGCTGTGTTTCTGGGCGCTGCCATCGCGGGGCCTGTGGGACACAGAGGCTATGCTTGGATAATCCCAGACTGCAGGCCTGGGTGGTCAGGGCCTGTAACTCCTAGTAGATCTGCCCTGTGACTACCTGAAGCACAAAGGGGACCCCCGCCAGCCACCGTAGATTTGAAAGAAGAGTAGCAGTGAAAGTCCTTGGGCAAGAGTAATCCGGAGAAGGCCACCAGATGTCCCTAACTACAGGATCTGGGAAATTCTGGTTCTGGCAAATTCCTCTCTGGCACTGGGCCCAGGCACTAGGTTTCCCCACTCTGCCCACAGCTTTAGCAGATGACTGATATCTACCCGGAAATGTTCCGCTCCTTCCAGGTCCACGCTTGGCAGAACTCAGGGCAGAGCCAAAACCCGAGGGGAACAGAGACAGAAGCCCCAGCTCTCCCCACAAACACAAGCTTGGGATGATGGCTGACATGGTCTCACCGTTGTAACCTGGGTTCTTTGCATGTGCTAGAAAAGATGAGACCACCCTCTCTGCCCCAGGTGCCCTATACCCACCTGGGCCACTTGGACTGCTTCCAATGCATCCCCTTGCTCCCAAATACGCACTGCGGGATTCCTCTATGATTTTTCCACTTTAATATACTTGTGTGTAGGTGTATGTGCATGTGTGTACATGTGTTCATATATGAGTATACACGTGGGTACCCATGCACACAGAAACCAGAGGTCAACCTTGGGTGTCATTCCTTTGTTATTGGTTTTGTTTTGTTTTCTGAGAACTCTCTGATTAGCCTAGACTGGCTAGCAGCAAGTCCCAGGGATCTTACTGTCCCTTCCTCCCCAGAGCTGGGATTATAAGTACATACCACTGTATCTTGCTTTTGGTGGAGGGTGAGCTTGGAGTCAGGGTCTCTACATGTAGCCCTGACTGTCCTAGAACTCTTTATGTAGATCAGGCTGGCCTCAAACTCATATAGGTCAATCTGCCCCTATCTCCTGAGTGCTAGGGTTAAAGGTGTGTGCCACTATATCTGGCTTGCCTAGCTTTTTATACATAGATGCTAGAGACCAAACTTAGACCCGCATACTTATAAGACAAGCACTCTATGGGCTAAGCCATCTCTTCAACCCTGATAGGTCAGTTTTTGACATAACTTTGGGTAGGCTGCCTCCATGCTCATCCCTCATGATGTGGATTCATTGGGGGGAGGGAGTGGCGTGGGGGGGATCACTTCTGGCCTGGTCAGCTTGGCCTCAGACTGTGGTCCTCCTTCCTGATGTGACAGAACGGCAGGCATGTACCACCACGCCTGGCTCTAGTCACCATCTTCATCTAGAAGTTGTCAACACAAAACAAAAGTTTACAAAGGTTATTTAGAATTCAGCACTGAGGAGTGGGAGAGGTGGCTCTGTGCTATAAAATGCTTTTGTCTAACACACAAGGAACTGAGATCAAGTCACCAGAATGTACATATGACTGAGATGCAGAAACACACACACACACACACACACACACACACACACGCACACACACACACACACGCACACACACGGGATAGGGGAGAGAGAGACAGAGAGCAGGGAGAGTCATAATTGAGAACTAAGAACGAGGTAGTTGTCTTTAATCCTAACATTCAGAAGGCAAAGGCAGGTGGATCTCTGTGAGTTCGAAGCTAACCTGGTTTACAGAGCAAGTTCCAGGACAGCCAGTGCTACACAGGGAAACCCTGTCTAAGAAAAAAACAAAAACAAAATAAACAAAGAAACAACAAAACAGCACACACACACACACACACACACACGCACACACGCACACATACACAAAGAACATGGCAGTTAAACATTAGGCAGAGTTCAGGGAATCCTGCTGAGGAGAGGGAAAAAGGATTGCAGGAGCCAGAGGGGTCAAGGACATCACAAAAAAAAAAGAAAAAGAAAGGAAGAGAGAGAGAGAGAGACAGAGAGAGAGATGAAGGAAGGAAGGAAGGAAGGAAGGAAGGAAGGAAGGAAGGAAGGAAGGAAGGAAGGAAGGAAGGGGAAACCCCCACAGAATCAACTAATCTGGGCTCATAGGGCCAGGAAGTCTGTATGGGACTACCAAGCACTCTGCATATGTGTTACAGTTGTGTAGCTTGGTCCCCTTGTGGGTTTCCTAACAGTAAGAGCAGGGGCTGTCTCTGACTCTTGCCTGCTTTTGAGACCCATTCTTCATCCTGTGTGGCCGTGTACAGCCTTACTATGCGGGGAGGAGCATTGCCTAACTTCATGCTATGTTTTGCTGATATCCATGGGAGGCCAGCCCTTTTTGGAGGAGTGGATGGGGGAGGGGCAGAGGAGAGATGGGAGTGGAAACTGCAGATTGGGATCTCTCCTACTTTCTATCGGATCCCTCTAGAATCTGGAGGAGGTGGAGACGGAGGATATCAGAAAAAACATGAAGACTGAGCCGGCTTCCCTCTCCCTAGTCCTTCCCAGCCCAGGTCTAGCCCTGCTCTTTCCCTGTCTCGGGTGACTATTGCTGTGACCAAAGCAGCCTGGGGAGGAAAGGGTTGAGGGGAAGGGTTTTTTTGGCTCATACTTCCACATCACTGTTCATCATCAAAGGAAGTCAGGACAGGAACTCACACGGGGCAGGAACCTGGAGGCAGGAGCTGATGCAGAAGCCATGGAGGGTGCTGCTTACTGGCTTGTTCCCTCTGGCTCGCTCAGCCTGCTCTCTTATAAAATCCAGGACCACCACCCACAATTTTGGCTCTCTCCCATTAACTGGTGATAATTGAGAAAATGGCCTACAGCTCACTCTTATGGAGGCTTTTCTTTGACAGGGTTCTCTGTGTAGCCCTGGCTGTCCTGGAGCTCAACCAGGCTGGCCTCAAACTCACAGAGATCCATCTGCCTCTGCCTCCCAGTGCTGGGATTAAAGGTGTGCGCCACCACCACCAGGTGGAGGCATTTCCTTAACTGAGGCTTCTTCTTCTAGATGACTTTAGCTTGTGTCAAGTTGGCATAAAAGCACCCAGCACATTGCCGGGCGGTGGTGGCGCACGCCTTTAGTCCCAGCACTTGGGAGGCAGAAGCAAGCGGATCTCTGTGAGTTCGAGGCTGGGCTGGACCGACAGCCTCCAAAACAATACAGAGAAACCCTGTCTCGAAAAAAAACAAAAACAAAACATAGAAGCACCCAGCACACACCCCAAACTTTAGCTCACTGAAAGCAGCTTTGCCCACCACGCCACCCATAGAGGCAGCCTGGAAAACAGTGTGGGACATTTGTTTGGGCATCCTGAGTCCCGGGTCCCCAGAACATCATCTAGAAGCATCCTAACCTCCCACGAGGGCTCCATGAACTATCTAGACAGCTTGTTCTGGGCATTAAGAGGCTGGACTCGGAGAAAGAACATGGCCAGAAAGAGCCAGGCCAGAGCCCAGGTAGGAGCCTTGCAGGGAGGGCCTGGCCTCTGGTCTACAATCTAACCCCATCTCTTGCAGGGATGATCCTGGCTGTCCTACTCCATCAGGGCCACCTTCCCCGCCTTTTCCAGAGAAATCTGCTCTACCGGCAGAAAACCAAATACCGAACTCCCAGAGGGAAGCTGTCCCCGGGTTCTGTGGATACCCAGATACCCACAAAGGAGTATAGTGGCAAAAGTTTGTAGCTTTATATACCAGAGCTGTAGCCACTGGGGTCCAGCTGAGCTGTCTTGCTCACAGAAGCGTCAGTCACCTCCTGAAACTTCGGGGCTCCCCTCCATGGAAACCATTTATCAATAAACAGTTGCTAAGACCCACCTTTCTCCCTGACCTGACAGAAGCTTCTGGAAGGACAGGTGAGTGTGAGTCCTTTTTAACCTTTCTTTCCTGATTCGTGTTTACACAGTGATAATAAAAAGTAAGGTTACAAAGACTGGCAAAAAGCCCAGGGTTAGCTAACTTGGGCCTGTCCACCTGGCACAGTCGAGAAAGGCCTAAGACTTCCTGTGGGCCCAAGGATTACAGTAGAACCTGCAACGGAGATTTCAATGACTGTTCCTGGGGTCTGGGCCTGGCACAAGGAACCCAATGCTGTTATTTATCAAGTTTCCTCCCCTTAGGACACTGGCTAATTATCCCTCAAAGATAGGCCACCCCTTATCCCAGGAGCTCCTGGGTCAGAGCATGTGGCAGGGTAGGCCTAGAGGCCAAAGCAAGGGCATAGCCCTGGTTTCCTGGCTGCTGGTGAGGCCACACCGAGGAGAAAGATCTTTCAGGCCTTCCCACGCCTGCCCCTTCACCTTCTCTAAGGCCCCCCTGCTTACCTATCCTGGCAGAGGTCCCTGTCAAGAACCCTTAGACTCCTTTGTGACTAACCTGGGAATGGGTGACAGAACCCCAATTCCCCAATGGCCCACAGAAGTTTATAGACGCATCAGGTCTGGGGGTGGCATCATAATTGCTGCACCAACATCCTAGGAGCAGAGACAGTCCTCATGGCCACACTGAACCCAGGGAGGTTGGCAGCCTGAGGTCCTCATGGCCTGCACAGATGGCCAGGACAGGAATCCTGCTGTGACTGAAGGGTCAGGGTCACAGTCCTGTCACACGATGTGGCTGAACTTGGTCCAGGGTGTAAAGTGAGAAAAGAATGCATGAATGTGGGGTGGCTGTGCTGGGCGTTGTATACAGAGGATGTAGGAGTCATGTGTCTGTGCTGTGTGGTGATGGGTCAGCTTGGAGCTATTCTAGAAGTGTGTGAGTATGGTGCGCACATGCTCACGTACAGGGGCAGATCCACATACACGGGGCAGAGGGGTGGATATCCACACACAGTTTTTGGTAGAGATGTGTCCCAGAGCATGTTCCTAGTCTTTGGTGGTCTGACGCTTGCTGCACCACTGTTTCCAATACTTTTGAAAATTGACCATTTTCACTATGAAATGTCTATGAAGTCACATGTTGAGAAGTCTCGAAAACATCATAGGTTAAGATTTGTGAACAAAGCCGGGCGTTGGTGGCACACGCAGCCTTTAATCCCAGCACTCGGGAGGCAGAGGCAGGTGGATCTCTGTGAGTTCAAGGTCAGCCAGGTGTACAGAGTGAGTTCCAGGTCAGCCTCCAAAGCTACAGAGAAACCCTGTCTCTAAATGCCCCCCAAAAGAAAAGGGGGACATGAGCCTGGCAGCTTCCTTGTGACTTGGGATGGAGAGAAGTGAATTCATATTTTCAGAGGGCTTAGCCTAGGGCTGAGCATACCACATGAGTCTGGTATAAGCTTTTTAATTTTGAAAAAAAAAAGAAAATGTAAAATTTAAAAGTGAATGTACATTTCGGTTGTAAGGATAAACCCGTGTCATTTCTGTCCAGCTCTGACTCCGTTTCCGGCACCCACAGATGCTAAGTGACTGCCAACAGGCCCTGGAATGCCTAGGAGTGGAATCACGAGTCATGCCTCCAGGCCACTGGATGACCCCAGCTCGTGCCACCACCTCTGTGGCTGTCTTCTGGAGTCAGGAGCCACCTGTCCCCAGGTGGTGTTCAACAGTTGAGCACTGTGACCCTGTGTGTCTTTTTCCTTCTCCTGGGTCACAGCCCCCCCTCCAGGAGACAATTCTCCCCTCCGTGCTGGTTCCCCAATGCTGGCCCCTGGTGGGCAGTCCTCTCAGGCCAAGTGTTCAACTCTTTTGATTCTTGTTTCTCTAGCCTGGAGTACCTGGCAGTATGTGGCGCCAGCGCCACAAGCAACTCCAAGGTATCAGGGAAAGAAAGACCAGACGTCCACTTGTTTGTACTAAGAGAATGCATGTGCTGCCTTTATTGCCAGGAGTGTGTGAGAGTGTGTGTGTGTGTGTGTGTGTGTGTGTGTGTGTGCGTGTCTTCATTGCAAGTGCTAAGAGGTCTCCCTCTTGTAAGAGGGAGGAGCTTTATATACAGGTTTACAGCACAGTGGAAAAACCCCAGGTAGAAGAGATCGTTGTTTTCCTCCTGCTGAATGTTGATGTCAGAGGGTCAAGGCTGGGGCATTAAGCCAGTACTAAAAAACAGGAAGCACTTGGACTGGAAAACAAGTTGCACTTGTAGGCTGACCCCCAACTCACAGAGACCCCATTGGGCTGGGCCCCAACAGCAGTAGACACTCATCCTAAATCAGAGGGAGGTCACTGTCAGTCCTGAGTGTAAAGTCGTCTGCCTTGGGCCCTGCATGGGTCTAGACCAAAGCTAACAAAGCCTTTAGGACACTCAGGCAGATGAGCCCAGGATTCCCAAGCCCCAGGATACCCAGGCCAGCCCAGCCAATAGGGGTCCCCGATTCCCATCTGCCCCTGCCGGGCCCTTTGCCTCCTCCACATCCCGTGTCCTGCCATCCCAGAGCCTGGCCTGGGCTGGGGTCAGCCTAGTTCTGTTCAGCTCCTCTGTGGACAGGAGTCAGGGCTGAAAGCCAGGGCCCAAGAGGATCCTGAAACCCATCCTAAGGAGTAGGGTCCATGCTACCCCCGCCCGCCCCAGATCACTCCAGACCCAGGCTGGCCCTTCTCTAGGAAAACGCCTGTTACTCTTGATTCCTGGTGGCCTTGAAGCTAGCCCTGCTCAGCCTGGAACGACCCAGTGACAGCACAGCTTTCCAGAGTGTCTCAGGGCCATGTTGCACGTCTGGGAATCTGGACCCCAGCTATGGAGCACCTGGAATGACCCAGTGACAGCACAGCTTTCCAGAGTGTCTCAGGGCCATGTTGCATGTCTGGGAATCTGGACCCCAGCTATGGAGCACCTGGAATGACCCAGTGACAGCACAGCTTTCCAGAGTGTCTCAGGGCCATGTTGCATGTCTGGGAATCTGGACCCCAGCTATGGAGCACCTGGTAGGGGTCCAGTCTCATTACACTGGGACACGCACAGGTCGGCCACGCCCAATGATTCAGGGCTAGAATATAACACAATGACCTAGATCAGGAAGTGGGAGCAAGGCTAACCTATACCCTCTGTTGCATTCTTGGTCTCCACCGACCACAAGCCTAGAGCCCAACAGTCCTGAGACCCAACACTCCCACCTCAATATTCCAGAGTGATGCAGTCACACCTCAGATTGGTGCAATACCATCTGCAGCCAGAGGGTGGCACCACAGGAGACTCTGCTCCCCCAGGATCCGAGCCTACTCCGTGTCTTTTGGAGGTAACGTGCTAACACTTGCAGCCACACAGATCCCTTCTTCCCATGGGAAACAGACAAAATGGACTGCTTTTTCCTCTCAAATAGTTAAATAAGACAAAACTTCACGTAAAAAAATATAAAGAAGCCACTTGGCAGGGATTGAAATTCCTACAGGATGAGCATTTCTTGAAATAAAAATACATGCTAAAGCTCCATTTCTGCCCAGGAATTGTGCAGTTTGCATTAGTCGATCAGCTAAGGACGTGAGGGAGGGTGATGACCCCAGAGTGAGACACTGGGCTCTTGGCTTGCCGATAATACTTCGGTCTGTGTATCATTTTCTTGAAGTCCAAGACTCAATTCTTTCTCTTTAAAATTTGTTTTCATTTATTTTGCATATTTACATACTGACCACAGTTCCCCCTCCTCCCCTCCCCTCCCCTCGCTGTCCTTCTACGCCCCCCCATTCACTCCTCCTCCATCTTCATCCTGAAAGGGGCAGGCTTCCCCTGAGAGTCAACAAAGCCTGGCACATCAAGTTGAGGCAGGACCAAGCTCCCCCTGTATCAAGGTTGCATGAGGCAACCCAGCATGGGGAATGGGTTCCCAAAAGTCAGCTCAAAGTGCCAGGGACAGGTCCCGATCCCACTGCTGGGAGCCCCACAAACAGACCAAGCTACACAATTGTCACACCCATGGTCCCAAGCAGGTTCCCTAGCTGTTGGTCCAGAGTGGGTGAGTTTCCACGAGCTGAGTCAGCTGTCTCTGCGGGTTCCCCTGTCATGACCTTGACCTGGCTTGCACAATCCTTCTCTCTCTTCAGTGGGACTCCCGGAACTCAGCCCAGTGCTTGACTGTGGGTCTCTGCATCTGCTTCCTTCAGTTACCGACTGAAGGCTCTCTGATGACAGTTAGGATAGTCACCGATCTGATTACAGGGAAGGCCAGTTCAGGTACCCTCTCCACTATTGCTAGGAGTCTTAGTTGGCGTCATCCTTGTGAATTCCTGGGAGTTTCCCTGCACCAGGTTTCTTCCTAGCCCCCCAAATGGTCCCCTCATCAAGAAGTTTCTTCCATTATTCTCCCATTCCATCATGCCCCTACCCACCCAACCTGATCCCTCATGTTTCCATACCTCCAGCCCCTTCCTGGCCCCAATTTATCCAGGAGATCTCTTCAGTTTCCTGTTCCCAGGGAAATCCATGTGCCAAGTCTCATTTCTTAAACTCCCATGAATCAGCAGTGGATGGGGACCCCAAACTCCCAGTCCACTGAAAGATGATCAGGGCCCTGTGAGTGAGAGCCTCACTTCAGTACCTCGGGGAAAGTTCTGAGGCCCTAGACACACCCTGTGGGCCAGATGTTACGAAGAGACCACATCCACAAGGCTGTGAGTAGCAGCAGCCCAGAGCTTGGTACACGCAGGTAGGGATGCCTGGAATAGGTTCAGTCAGGACTGAGGAAGCAGTGGGCTCAGAGCTAGCACCCTCTTGCACCTCTCACCCCTCATCCTCCTCTTTGACCCCCAAGAAGCCACCGTCTCCCTTCCTCACCGCCAGGGGGCTCTGGTACCACCTCTGATTGCATAAAGGCACCTGTGAGCATTTTCGCCACAGCCAACAGACAGAGACACAAGTAAATGGTTGTGTGTTGCATGAGAGCCACGTTTATTTCTTAATTTGACAGAGCCCTAAGTGCATACAAACAGTACAGGAGCCTACAGCTAACACTCAGGTGTAAACAGCAGGATACTAGTCATTACGTCAGATGGTTACGACACGGGGGCCAGGGGGTGCCCACAGCAATCACATATGTACAAGTCAGGGACACAGCCTCTGAGTTGCAGGAGGGCCCTCAGTACAGACAAACTACAGGAGGTCCAGGCTCAAGGGAAGGCTCGGGTCAGCCCCAGCATCTGTCCATCCTGAGGGACTGCATGGTTCCAGTCCCAGGAGTAAAAGGAATGTGTCTTGTGAGATCCCCATGCTGCACAGAGCAGAGAGGATCAACACCTTAGCCTTGTTCACATCTGTAACATTGGCCATATTCAGTAATCCCAAGATATCCAGGGGTTTCCAGGGACCAGGATAGATGAGGAGGGCAATTTAGAACAGCTGGTGTGTGTGTGTGTGTGTGTGTGTGTGTGTGTGAGAGAGAGAGAGAGAGAGAGAGAGAGAGAGAGAGAGAGAGAGAGAGAGAGAGAGAGAGAGAGAGAGAGAGACGAAGGTACTGGTATGATTGCCTAGAGCAGGACAGGAGGTCTTAGATGTGTTCTCCAGGAATTAGCAGGGTCCCACAGGAACCCAGCTCAGGGCTGGGTTCTTCCCAAGCTCACCCTCCCGAGGAAAGATGAGTATCCCAAACTAAATTGAGGTCACAGCCTGGACAGCATCAAGTAGCAAAACCAAACTGTGGAAGTGACTTTCTGGATCTATCTCACTCTCTGGCCTTAGCAGGAAACAGGCCTCAGCTAGAAGGACTTGCTTCTGTCTGGTGACTCCCCCTCCATCCCTGTTTCCAACTCAGCCCTCTGTCTCTATGCTGGATGAAAGACCTTTAGCTGACATGGTAAGTTTTGGACAGAGAGGGCAGGAAGAAATCAGGTTTCCTGAGCTGTGGACGGAGTTCTTGCTCAGTCAGTTCTGGTTACTAGGTTCTGACTCAGGACCTCCCACCAAAGCAGGGAGCCCACCTTGGCTCCTACAGTGCCAGGATAGCACTGGGCCAAACTGGAATGGCCCCTGACCATGTGTGTGTGTGCGGAGGGGGAGAGCGCCTACCCTTTCTACAGCCCGACCCAGGCGCAGGTGCTCTGTAGGTTGGCTGGCCTCAGACACCCACATGCTGGGTGGAGCCGCACTCTTCCAAGGCCTCAGCTTCAGGTTGGCTGACCTGAGCGAGCATGGCTGCCTCTCTGCCTTCCGGGGGCTGTGTGGCTGTGACCCTTGGGAACCAAGGGATTTAAGCAGCCCGTTCCTTCCCTTCTTTCAGTCATGAGTGCCAGATGAGCTTGCTAAGGACACGGTTGTCTTCTCTTCACTCTGTACCTCAGCCTCCTGCCTCCAAGGTCCACAGTAGACAGCCCAGGTCACCTGGTTTCTGGGTTAATTTTGGTCTGGGGTGGGCATTTTGATCTGGATTCTTAGAAGTAAGTCTTATCCTACATTTCAAAGACAGGGTTTCCTGAGACCTGAGGCTAAGGACTATTATTACCTCAGGTCCTGGGGTTGAGGACAGCCGGGCATGATGGTGGCCACCCCCAAGGCACCTGACCCCAATGATGGGCAAATTCTCACTTTCAACAGGGCTCACCCTGGCTGGCAGGTGCACACACTACTGCCAGTGTGAGCCCTGCCACCACCCTGAATCTTGATGCCCGGATGAAGGGCAGGGCCTTTGATAACAATGCTAAGGGGCCTTGAAGCCAGAACTTCTCCTACGCCTTTCCAGTCAGTAGAGATGCTGTGAAGAATCGCCTCGAGAGAATCCATGTCATGTCAGTGCCATGTGGAGACAGCCTGGGCTGAGAGGGAGCTCAGACCCAGTGGCTCAATTGGAGGGGGGAGGGGCTGGTCAAGGTGGAGGGAGAGGCCTGGGGTAGCTAGATGCTGAGTGTCACCGCTCCTGATGGGCGCTGGGGACTTGAGGTTTGGTTTCTGATTTTCTAAATGGGCCTGTGATATGGAAATTCCCCAGATGCAGAAAGGAAGAGTCCCTTTGCCAAAACTACCACGAGGTCATACTCATCTGCCTGACAAGGACATGCATCACTCACTGAGTTCTCCTACCGAGACGTTCAGAGAAGCTTGCTGGGCAGATTGTAAGGGATCACCGATCACAGAACCTTCCCAGAGCTATGTATTTACCCCTTTTCTCACCGACACCGACACCCAAGGCTAAACTCAGAGATCCCATCCTGAACACCAGTGCCTGCCACCCACAGCCCTGTGCAAACCCAGCCGCCTTATCCGACAGCCTAGACATAGCCCAGCTGGAACCCCTTCCTCCACACACCCTGTCTGATCCTTCCCACTCTGGGAATGAAGCTGCCTGCACCACCCATCTTAGAAACTGCTCCCTCAAAAGCAGCACACAGCACCTTCTGAGTTGCCTAAGTCTCGGAACCGGCAGACCCCCTCACATACACACCTGCTGGGTGTGTCTCAGATAAAACTGGCCAGGGAGGAGCATCCCTGTGCCAGCTGTGAGGAGCCATGGCTTGTTCACAACCCCCCCCAAATCTGGTCCCAGAAGACTGGAGACATATGTGGGAACCATCAGGGCCTAGGCTTGGGGTGTCAGGGAGAGCTCCACATGAATCTTACAACCCTACCTGGAGGCATTAGAAATAAATACTTATAAACAGAACACAGTCTTATAGTTAATGTCTCAGAGGACTGTTTCAACACCACTAATGTATATTAATTATAAGTCTGTCTATGCTTAAAAAAATATTAGAACAGCGGCAATACCCTGGGTCTTGTGCCCTCTAACCTTCCTGGCATTCCGAACTTCCCACCAGAGCAATTTTGGAAGAAACAACAACACGCACAACCTCTGGGGAGCACAATGCATCGTGTGGTAGAGGCCCCCCGCCAGAGGTGGGGGTGCTGGGCCCAGCGCAGGAGTCCCCTGGCGGGGGAAGGGCTGAGTGGCAGATGACAGGACAGATGATAAGGACAGGGGACTGGTCTGGGCCACTGGATGTCCGGAAGGCTTCGGCTCAGACCCGCATCTGTGCAGATCTCCTTCGGGAAAGCTTGGACCTGCAAGGGTGCGGGAAAAGAAGCTAGAGTCAGAGCCAGAAGTTGACCCCCGGGGCCTCCAGCATCCAGAGGCAGCTCAGCAGACCCCCACGCCACACCACAGCCACATAAGGACGATATCTGATCAGTGCTTTCGGGGGGCACCTTAGTCCTCCCCGTGGCCCTTCGTCAAGTCTGCGATATGGAAGAGGTGGGATCCCATCCACTAGGGCCTGGGTCCATGTGTTAGAACCTGCACTGAGACAGTCTTCCAGCTGACTTATTGCATGAGCATACTCAAGAATGCCCCGGCCCCGTGTGTCCCGGCCTCTGCAGGGTTGGACACAGGCTAGGTCTCCCCGTGATGTTTCCTTTTCTTCCGTCTCTCTGCCCAGCACGTACCGGATGGTCCCAGCCAGGAGTGGGTTGAAGGCATACAGCCAGTCGTGCATGTCCTTGTCACTGTTGGCCTGCAGCAGGATGCCCCGGTGCTCAGTGCACACAGCAAACGTGTTGGGTGTCTGTGAAGGGAAGCTGCTGGAGAGAAGGCTCTGTGGGGACATGGCCCCTCCAATTCCCAGGAAAGAGCTTTAAGAGTGACTGGGGGGGAGAGATGGCCAACCAGCCACAGCACAGCACCCTGCCCCCTGGGGGAGGGGTGGGGCTAGCTTCTCTGGGAAACACACACTTTGTCCTGTCCACACAGGCATGCAGCTCCATTCTGGAAGCCTCTGCGGTCAGGAAACTTGTTTTAGTTCTGTTCGTGCTGCTGCTCTGTGTCCCCCTGGGAACGACTCTGCCCTTAATGGGCCATATATATATATATATACACATATATATACACATATACATATACATATACATATACATATACATATACATATACATATACATATACATATACATACATACATACATACATATATATATATATATATATATATCTGCCTGGGACCCTGGCTGAAGTGTCCCATTCAGCCATGCCCTCTGTGTTCACGTAACTTGCTCTCACCACAGGGAATATCCAGCAGGCACTGTAGCCTCATTCCACAGGCTAGGAGAGCCTTCCCTCCAACCATACTGCCAGGAGCTGGCTCCCACACTTCTGGGGCACTGTTGGCTTCTGGAGGGCCACAGGTTAATAATGCCTTGGGAATGAGCACTTGTTGGGACTGTGAGACTCTGCCTAACCTGCCAGGGTCCTCGGGAACCCCAGGACGGGACCTAGCTATAGGTCATTGTATGGGTAAATGGCAATGCCTGCCACCACCAATAGTTACCAGGACAGGCCAAGGGCTATAGCCAAAGAGGGGAGAGTGGACACCTCCTTTGGTGAACTCAGTGCGTCTGAGCTGGGCCTCACCTTCAGCATGGCCTGCTGGTCCTCGCTGTACTCCACCTGGGCAGTGGAGAGGTTGAGCACAAATCTCTCCACGGAGTCCTTGTCACTGTTGTACATGTAGGCATAGGGGCGCCGCACCACGACAAAGCGCTTGGCCCAGCCAGCTGTGTGTGGTTCCAGGAAGTGCAAGTACCCCTTCTTGGAGACGATTGGGCTGTGAGGTAGAGACACATCTGTTGGCTCAGGACCCTTGGGCAGGCAGGCAGTCGGGATAGGGGAACCAACACGGGGGTCACACCCTATCACCCTGCATTAGGCCCTCAAGAAGGAGACCAGGTATGAAGGGGATATCCAAGAACAGAGCCACCAACTCGTATCTGGGATAAGTCCCCCAATTTTCAGTGGGGAGATTTGGGGGGAAAAACTACAGTCCCAGAGCTGTTACCCAGTGCCCAGTGTCCACTAGGTCCCCATCTCTGTCCATTCACAGCTCTCCACTCTCCGATTGTTACCGCCTCTGTGCCCAGAGGGGCCGTCTGCCTTGTCCATAGGTGAGGGGTCCCCTGGCACTAAACTCCGCCCTGCACACACGCCAGGGCTGGGTGCCTATGTCTAGACAACTTCTGACTGAGGCAAGGACCTTGCGTACCTGACTCGGATCTCTTGGATGTCAGGGACCAGCAGGCGCTGGGGCTCCTCGTCCGCCTCTGTTGCCCGAGCTGGGGAGGGAGTCTTCTTGGAATCGATTTCTGGCAGGAGCTCGGGCTCTGGGCTGGCAGGCCGGGAGCAGGGCTGGGGGGTCCTAGAAATACAAGGTAACGTTGTTTTCTGCCAGGGTTCTTCAAGGGACTAGTGTTCCCTGGGAATGTCCTCCTCAGAGCTGCTGGGGGAAAGTCCAGGGACTGTCTGGCTGAGTCACAGGAGGAGTTCCCGGGTTTCAGAGTCCCCCTGGCTCTGGGGCTGCTGGGCTGGGTGAGGAGGTTCCACAGCCACTGTGGCCCAGCCAGGGTAGGCTCTGCATTGCTGGGGAGACAGCACTCCCTTCTTCAGGACATTCTCCAGTGTCGGCTCTGTATAAAAGCCCCCCTTCCCTTCCTCTCTAAAATCACCCCTGTTGCTCAGTGGTGGCTCTGTGTTCTTGGGGCACAGCAGTAGACTTGCCAGGACAGGACAAGGTGACTCATGATGAGCGAGTGTTCCACACCTTCTATTTGCTTGTTTGTTTTGTTTGTTTGATTTTTAACTGGAAAGTCCAAAACATTCTTTTAAAAAATCATTCTTAAAAAAAAAAAGAATAAAGGGCTGGAGAGATGGCTCAGTAGTTAAGAGCTTTGGCTGTTCTCCCAGAGGTCCTGAGTTCAATTCCCAGAAACCACATGGTGGCTCACAGCCATCTGCAATGAGATCTTGTGCCCTCTTCTGGCCTGCTGGGATACATGCAGACAGAACACTGTATACATAATAAATAAAAATAAAAATAAAAAGAATGAAAATGGCCAGAACTCTTAGCAATCAAAGACGCGGCAACGGAGGTGGGATTTCCTTTCCACACTGCTCTGTAGCCTCAGTCCCTCAAGTTCTGTTCCATTCCCTTTTGTTCCCGGAGTGTTTTAAGAGCCCCGTCCCTGGAAAGGGGGTGTCTCTGTTCTTGTGTTTCTGGGTTTATTCACCAATATATCTTTCATTCGTGCCAGCAAGGAGATAGAGGGCTCATTGTGGCTGTGTGAGCTAGACAGACTCGGGTACTCCAAGAAGGCCCGGGCCTCCTTCTTTCAGGCCCTGCCTTTTCCTGAGGCCCCTCGCCCACTTTCTCCATTCCTGAGTGCCAGCAGTTACTCAGGTGTGAGCCGCATCCCCAGGAGTGCAGAGCCCACTCACCTCACGTCAGCGGCACCGTAGCGTCCTTCAATCAGAGAGGGGCAAGTGGAGGAGGGAGTGAGCGTAGCTGCACCCAGAGGAGACATGGACGGGTCCCGCATCAGGGTGACCGACATCTCAGACAGCTGCAGGAGACAGAAAGTCCTCCTCAGCTGGACCTCTGGGCCTCGAGGAGGAGGGGGCTGGCCTGTCTTTAACTTTCCGCTTAGTGTGCCCTCGCTCCCGCTTCTCCCAGCTCAAGGTGTTCCTTGCTTTTGTACCCCTGGCCTTCTTCTAACGCCTACACAGTCCCAACTGTTCCTCCCAGGGCTTCAGACTGCTCTGGCCCGGGTGGGTCCCCTTCAGAGACTGTGGGGTGGTGGGTGGGGCATGAGATTCTGGAGTTGGTAGGAGCCTGCAGGATGAGGGTCCAGGGAAAGAAGATAACGTCAAGGGAATGGGAAGAGAGCAGAAGACAGGGCCTGGGGAGACCTGGGTCAGGCCCTCACTCACACCCCGGCCTCCTCAGATCCCAGGCCCAGAGAAACCAGCCGTTGAGCTGTGAGGTACCTCGCTGGGCCATGGGATCTGAGATCCTAAGAACACCCTCCTTGCGTTTGCCTGGCAGGACCAGGACCACCTGACTGTGGGCCTCTGGGGCCTGTACCTACCTTGCTCTCGCTGGCACTGACGCAGACGTGGCTGTGGGTGTACTCTCTGTTGAATGTGTGCATGAGGAGTCGTAAGCACTGTAGGCAGAGAGCACATGGTCGGACCCAAGGCCGCACGAGGCCTCCACCCACCCTGCTCCAACAGAGAGCACATGGTCGGACCCGAGGCCGCACGGGGCCTCCACCCACCCTGCTCCAACAGAGAGCACATGGTCGGACCCGAGGCCGCACGGGGCCTCCACCCACCCTTTCCAAATTGTCAGACGGGAGTTGCTGAAGAATAGGCTGGGGGCGGGCAACCATGGGGGTGGGGCAGATTAGGGTGGGAACTCCCACACGGCTTTCAGGGAGTCCATGACTTAGCGTCACCTACAGACACAATGCCTCCCTAGTGGCTCGTCAAGCAACAAGGACTGACCCTGCATGGAGGCAGTGAGCTAGCTACCGAGTGGTTCGGGGATTTAAGAGATGATCTATAAAAGGCCTCAAGCTGAGGGCTCTGAAGGAGAGTAAAGTGGGGTGAGGTAGCAGGCAAGGAACTAACTGACCCCTAGCCCCCCCCCCCTGCAAGTTCCTGGCAACTCAGACTGGAGTTGGCCACAGGCCAGGTTGGGCACCGCCACGGCCACAACACCCACCAGTATAGCCTACCTTGACCGCCAGTTCTCTCTGCCTCTCGTTGGGGGCCTCCAGAGGTGACGGCTGACCCTCGGCTGACAGTGGGGACGAGGCGCCTGAGGAGCTGCGGGACTCAGAGTCCTCACTGGAGGCTAGGGACAGCGCCTCAGGGCCAGGGCGCTGTGTGGTCTCCAGCTTCTCCCGTAGGAGCAGGTAGTGCCGCGTCTTCTCCACCTGCCACGGGAACCAAGGTAAGAGACGGCACCAGCCAGAGCAGGTGGCCAGCGACCCCGCACAGCAGCGAGGCCTTCTGGTGAGGTGTGGAAAAGTCTCCCCTGCCCGGGTTATGGCTGGTAACCCCAGGGACACACTGATGGCAGCACTCAGGAGACACAGGCAAGCCTTGTGGTCCCCCTCATAGTTAGCCATTCCCATGAGGCTCATGGGCCCTGTCGTGGGCAGTAGGGAACTATGCTTCTGTATTCCGCTCCCCACGTGCACCCTCAGGATGCACCCAGCAACGCCACCTCCAGGGGGCGCCTTCCTGGCTCCCCTTGGGCTTCATTCTGGGTAACAGCTGGCTGACTGCTCTTGCTTTTTGGTCTCCAGTGGCTCCCATGCTCACCTCCTGTAGCAGGCTCAGCTTTTCCAGCTCCCACTGGTGGTCCAGGATCAGGCTGTCACTCCGAGGCCTCCAGCCAGCCAGGTTCTCCTCACCCCGGACGTAGGCTACCGATGTGTCCAGCACGCGCCGGCGACGGCGCTGCATTCCTGCATGGGGATCGACACTCTAGCATTCTGACAGAAAGACGTCAGGATTCTCCAAAGTTCTTTCCTGTATGGGCTCAAGATCGGCTCCCCTGGGCCTCACCCGCAAGAAGCTAACGGTCCCTTTCCCAGGAGACTATGACATAGGTGGCCACAGCAGCTAGCAAACTTGGCCCCTCCTATCCACCCTTCCATCTGAGGACATCCTGGAGGCTGGAGGGAGAGCACTTGTACTCTGTAGAGCGAGACTCCCAACTTAGCAGAGGCCAGGGAGAGTGGAGGCTAAGCTAGTCCCAGCAAAGAGTAATCAAGACAGTCTCCTACCTGGGCTACCTGCATCTGCCACGTGGCAGAGGCTGAGCTCGTACACACCAGTCACACGGTTGCTGAGGGAGCAGAGGGAGAGGTCACATCATTAGTCAGCACAGCGATGGGGACAGATCACCACCATTGACGCATTCTGGGCATAGATCTCATCACAGCCTAAGGCAGGTAGCCTGCCTCAGGTTGTGGTATGTCACATCCTGAGCTGCGGTCCCCATGCCAGTCTTCGGGGACCTCAGCTTTGTGAACTAAGTAGCCCTTCTGGAAGCTGGAACTGCTTGGGGAGTTGGAGGACACAGACATGAACACATCTGTCGCCCAGATCCTCAGCTGTTGTGGGATATCCCTTTACACTGTGAGAAGACATGTTGCTGTGACTGATTCAATAATAGCTAGGCAGAATTTTGGGGGCAGAGAGAATGCTGGGAAGAGAGGGAGTCGTGGAGGAAGCATGGCATGTAGGAGATGAGGTAACAAGCCATGAGTCACGTGGCAGCATGTAAATTAACAGAAATGGGTTAGTTTAAGTTATAAGAGCTAGTTAAAGACAAGCCTAAGCATTGGTCAAGCCTTCATAATTAATAATAAATCTCCATGTGGTTATTTGGGAGCTGGCTGGTGGGACAGAGAAAGACTTGCTACATTCAGTGCCAGACATCATCAGTCCCCTGAGGTCTTCATACCCACAGAGAAGCCCTCCTGTTCTTATGATGCCAATGCCACCAAGGCTACCAACATAACCTCTCATGCAGCTGAGCCTTGATGGCCACTGAGTCCTGATCCTTTTGACTGTGCCCAGATTTGGCCCAGTCCCTGGTTCCATGTGGTAGATTCGTGGCCTGCACAGAGCTGGTTCTAGTTCACTCCACCCCCCCCCACACACTCATTCAGCTTTTCCTGTGAGCTGGAAGCAGACCCACGGGCAGAGTTACCTAGGGTAGTAGAATTACAGGGCACCATGGGGAGGCTGGTGTGCATAGGCCTCTCTACTTCCCATGGAGAACAGAGGGCTCCCTCATGCCTGCTTGACATGATGCATGTCCCCTACATGTGCTTCCACTGCCTGGCAGGGGCGACTGAAGGCAGCGAGCGGAGGGTGGGTGGTTGGTCCTCACCCCAGCAACCTGTGCTATGGAACTCAGGAGGGGGCTCTTGACACAGGAGTGTCTGTCTCCTGGGGGACACCCAGGACTGTTCTCGAGTCCAACATTGTTTCCGCTTGCCCAGGGTGGGAAGAGGCGGTCCTCTCCTATCCCTTTAGTGAGTTCCCCTCTTTAAAAGCACAGGCTCCCCACTTTGCCCACCCTAGTGAACTCACCCTTCTGTGGCCCTCAGGCTCCCACTGCCAAACAGGTTGCGAATGGAGCGTGAGGCTGGCAGCTTGGCGTCACGAGAGTAGAAAACCATACAGAAGTCCTTGGTGATGACAGCTGGCTGGGTGCAGTTCTCCATCTGTGACAGATGACAGAGGTCATGAGTATAGAGATGGTCCAGAGTGCCCAGGTCCCTGATCAACCAGGCATAATGCCCATCTTTCCCTACCTTCCTCTAGGACATAAGAACTACCACTGAAGCCTGTTAATGCCTGCTCCTGACCCTGGGCAGAATCCCAGGGAAGAGAGCCAGGGCTCTGCCCCTCACTGCTGAAGAAAGGGCTAGCAAGGATCTCGGAGCACTAGACCTACTCTGCCCTCCGGCGGTAAAGCCATAAACCAGGTGCAGAGCCTGAAATCTTCTTGTATATCAAGGCCAAACTTGGCCACTCTCACTCTTGACTCTAGAAGGCCACAGCAAATTCCTTTCTGCTGATGCTGGGTGCCTCCAGCTGTGCATGGTGGGCTTTTCACAGCAAATGTGATATCCAGAGTGATTTGTCTCTATGTAGGAGCGGTGCCCTTCAGGCGCAAGGCTCCCGCCATCTCCAAGCGTCTCCTTGGAGGCTGCGGCCAGGTGGAAGCACTCACACTCTGGCTCTACCTGCGCCTCAGAAAAGGCCAGCAGACGTCTGGCCATAGCCTGGTGGCTGTAGGCCTGCAGGGAGGAGCAACAGTAAAGGGCTTCTAGTTTTGTACTTTCTGGAATATTGATATAATGTCTGGTGATGATGCAGCCGCGCTGTAGTCTCAAAACTGAAACGCACACACTAACAATATAGGTGTCTACTAGTTCAGCATTGCTGCGGAAGGCATACGGGTTTCCTCAAGGACCTGAGGCATTCTCTGAGAATAGAGTGGGGTCACCAGACCTCAGTGTCACTTTGCAAGGCCTTGAGTTATCGGGGGTGGGGGGCTAATGTGGACGTGGGTGTCTTGCCTCAATGTAGGCAGAGAGGGTCATGTAGATTTTCTCCCGGTAGGGGGTGACACGATTCAGCAGGAGAGAGTTATGCATGGAGCTGTCCCAGGCTGCCTCAAACTGGTAGAAGGTCCTAGAAGAAAGCAGACGAGGTAAAGGCCAACGTGTGGGGTTGCTCTCGGCGGGAGTGGGAACATGCAGGCAGACACAGATAGAGGAGAACTGTAGGGAGATCACAGAGTCACAGGCTGGGAAGCTTGGATGGCACCAAGAAGGGCAGACCCCTCCTCACTCAGACCCGGGACCGAGCAGGGACCTCCGTGGGGCCATTTCCTGCCAGCCCCAGCTTCCTCAACTCCACAGCGTGGCCTGGGAGAACCCTCAGAGGACACACCAAGGGCAAGGAGGAAGGGGAGGAGGCTGTCTCAGCCTCAGTCTGAGCAAGGAGGCATCACCGGGGAGCTTTAGCCCAGCCCTGCCATTGAGACTCGCGCTGCCAGGGGGAGGCCCTGAGGGAGGATGCTTGGAGTGGAGACAGTGGCCTGTGAGCAGCATCCCACGGGCTCCGGACAGCAGTCCCATGGGAATAGCAACTTGGGGCTTTCATCTGTCCCTATCTCCAGCAAGGCTCAGATTTGCCCACCGTGGCTCAGGGTGGCTGTCAAGAGCCTAGGACTTTGCATCTACCATAGGGGCCCCTGCACTACAATCCCTGTAGGCCTCTCCTCTGGAAGACGGCATCTGTTCTATTTATCCAAGGTTCCCAGGGGGAAATTTGCCTCAGTTCGTAGCATGGCCACTCCACAGCCCCACTCCATCCAAGCACCCTCGCTGACACACAGTTCACAGGTCAGGCGGCAGCCCACTCTCCCACCACCTCATGGCCAGGCCGTTCAAGGATGCCAGCAGGCTCCCTGAGGTGCCTGGCCATGTGAGAGCCTGGCTGGTACTGCCTTTCTTCCTGTACGACACTGTCCAGGGAAAGGATACGGGGCCAACAGGTCGGGGGCATGGAACAAAGCAGGCTGGACAGGGCCACTGTCAGACACGCCACTAAGGAGAGGTCTGAGGCAAGAGGGGACAGCGGACACCCGGAACAGGGCAAAGGGCAGGCAGCACTGGAGGAAAGGGGGAAGGGGGATGGAGCAAGCGAGGGCAGGAGAGAATGGTGCCTGTACCTAGTGTCATTTCCGAAGGAAACGCTAAGGGCGCAGCCAGGACACACGCACACACACAGAAGAGAGCAAGACGTCAGAACAGGCCCTCCATGGCCAGCACAGCTGCTGAGGGGCCCCCTGGAGCCCCAGCCCAGCCCCATGGATGCCCTATGTCCTCATGAAACTGCTTCCAGCTGTGACCACAGGGGTCAGCTATATCTCTGCTGTTTCCTTGTGGTGTGTAGGGCAGCAAACGTCCCCACTTCATCGCGGTGTCCTTCAGAACCAAGGAGCTAACACGTGAGTGAGGAGAGCAGGGGTTGGCATGGGGCATCTTAGAGCCAGTGTCACTGTTACAGCGATGCCAGGGTCGGACCATCACTGTCATCTTGCTTGGACCCCGAACCTGTATCTACCATCCTTTGCCTTCAAAGCTTCTGAGTGGCGCGCGCGTGTGTGTGTGTGTGTGTGTGTGTGTGTGTGTGTGTGGTGAGTACAGAGACCCTCTAGCCATTGGAATCAGTATGGCCGCCCCAGTTTGGACTCCCCCTCAGGGACTGAGCCCCAGGCCTGTCCTTGCCCCTCAGCCCTGAGTGAAACATCTAGAAGAATGAGTCTGGCCAGGCTAGTTGTGGTTTTCAAGCTTCTCTGGGGGTGCTCCTGGAAATAGAGTGGGCTCTGCCAGCTAGGCCTAAGGTGGCCTTAGCTCAGCCCAGGTGAGAGAAAACAAGACCGTGACCCTTGAGTGTGTTGGTGGAGGACATTGCAAACCCCAGCAAAATGGAATATTTCCCAAGTCCTGACTGGCGGATCCCTATTTGAGGCAGATTTGACTCCACTTGGACCATTTTCTGTAGCAGGACTGGCCTTGTCAAACATTACCCTATCTTACAGTGGCCAGATGGCCAGCCAGAACAGGCTTCCAAATCAACACAGCCATGAAGCTTCTGGCAAGTCACATCCAAATGATGGTCAATCCCTAGCCTTGGAGGTCATCTGCTGTCCTCTGGGGGGCTGCACACATGAGGCCTTATGACCAGCTGCTACCCTCCACCAGCCATGGCTTAATGTCATGGGACACAGACCGAGGGCCCCAAGGAATGTCCCTGAAGTCTCTGTTGAGGGAAGTCACCCTGCCCGAGAGTGGGCAAGCTGGGGGGTGGCACAGGGGAAGCAGAGGACTGCCACCTTTGTGGGACCCTCCAAACATGCAAGCCATTATGTGGAACCCATGACTTACTGCCATTTTCAGTAATTAGAAAAACAGAATTCAGAGAAGTTGAGGTGCCCTACACAGGAAGGCCCAGGACAAGGACAATGGGGAGGCCCTAGGAGGTGCAGTGGGCTTCACATGGAGTTCAGGATCCTCTTGGATCACTGGGCATCAGGTACCCCAGGGGAAGCCTGAACCTCCGCTACGCAACCTCTTCTTACAGGGTGACATTTAGCCAATGGCTTGGAGATGTGACCCAGCATTCCTGCACGTCCTGTTGTGAGGCATCCGCAGGGGGGAGGACAGTGTCGAGACATGCGGCCTCCAGGAGTGAGTGGCACTAAATATGGTTGCCAGAGCTTCTCCATGACTGAGCTCTGATGGCTAAGAGTGAACAGAGCGTGTCCATGCACCTTCATGTCACGTGCTGCCTGTGTGTCACTTTCTAATTCTGCGGGCAAGAGGCCTTCTCCAGGTGCAAACCTCCCTACCCTCAACTCACAGTGAACCAGAACTTAAGAGTCCAAACACTCTTTTCTTAGCCACCCAAGCTCAGATAGTTTCCTAGAGCATCAGAAAATAGATCAATACACTATGAGAACAGTCCAAACAGCTGAGACCCTACACTAGAACCACTCAGGAACTTGTTAGGGTATGCATTCTTGAGCCTCACCCAAGACCACTGAGTCAGAAACTCTGGCTGGTGTCTCTTGTGAATGGAGAACCTCAGCTGACCCCGAACAGCATCTGCTATCTGCTCTGCTCTCCATCACCTTGCAGACCAAGGCCTAAGGCAGGCGAAGTCCCTCCCAGCTCCATCAACAGTGCTCTGGCTGTTACCCCTCTGGTGCCATCTGAGTCCATGTCTATTGTGCATATTCCCTTGGCTTCCCCATAGACATGGCATTCCTGGAACCTTGTTCCAATGGAACAGATGTGAAATGGCTAATCTGCACCATTGAGAAAGTGGGGCAGGTAACATAGGGTCTTCCAAAGGAAAAGGTGGCCAGCAAGGCTCCTTCTAAAGCCAGAGCCAGAGCCCAAGGATGCAGTAGCTTGGACCTTCAGGCAATGTCCTGCCTCCAACTGGCTTCTTTGACTTGGAGGGCACCAGGAGGCCTACTAAGTGATTCTCTTCTCTCCAAGGGGGCACAGCTGCCCTTGCAAGCCTACAAACAGGACAGCCAAATGCACATCTGGGATACAGCAAGTAAGGGATGACCCATGTACCAAGCACTGCACTCACTATACAAGGGTTGCCCACGGCCAGGACGGTGGGTGCTGTGTAGACACACACTGTCTACCTCCATTATCATCACAGACAGGCTGCAGGGACCTGGGCAGGTGACTCCATGCCACCACAGATTTGGAAATTAGAAACACGCCTTCCCCCAGTCTGACCAGAATGATACGTCCTAGGGAAGGCAGATGCACTTCTTGCCCGGCCTCCAGAGGGCAGGCCATGAACACACCAGGCCCTACAGAGCACCAGATCTACTGCCCGTGATACTGTGAAAGGAAAGAGCACACTGTCAGATTGGAATGGAGTCCCTTGTGTCAACTATGACAACTAATGGATAAAGCCAGGAGGCCGTGGAGGGAAGCTTCTCACCACAAACTGCCCGCAAATGACTGTCACAAGACAGGCAAAGCCATGAACTTGTACAGATACTGCTGCAAGGACAGCTGTCCAGCTTGTCCATCCAACCTGCTACTGACGTCTCATGGTATTGATCACTGTGACTAAAGGTCACTGTTTCAAAATACCTGATGTAATAAAAAAAGAAAAAAACCTTAAAAAAGACTTTGTCTTGCTCATGCTCTCTGAATAAGCCTGTGGATTATGATGACACGTGTGTTCCCGTGAGAGTTTGTAAATAAATGTCAAAGCTCTCTGCCTGTTGCTGACGGCTATGGAAGTGTATTTAAAATGCCCTGGGAAGTATGTTTCAAGAGGGGGAGACCCAGGTCCTCCAAGGAAGTCACCTCCCAGGCTCACGTCTGTCACAAGTCCCCAGACTACAGCCAGGGCAGTTCCTCCCCCCATGGGGACTTGATGTCATTACTCACGACAAACTGAGAACAAGGGAAGTGCTCCAATGACCCTGGAGATCCCGTGTAAGAGGTCTGGATATGACACCATACACAGCCAAGCACAATTCCCACCCATAGCTCCAGCTCTGATGGCCCAGGACAGACAATGACAATATGCAGCTGGACCCTCCCCCAGGACTGAAATGGCAGTAGTACAACTAGGCCAAGTTGCTGCCACCAAAAACATCCCGGGAGGCTGGAGCAGCCACCTTAGGGAGCTCCACCCCAAGCCCGCCCTGCAGGCTTCTGGCGGCTCTCCACCCCTCTGACTGGACCCTGGTCATCCTGGCTTACTTTCCCCACTCTTCAAGGCCGCCTATGCGTTCCTCCGAGCAGTCCCTCATTTGGGGAAACTATGAAGCTAGAACCCGAAGCCGTATTCACCAGATCAAGACAGGGAAAGGGAAGATCTGAGATAAGCAGGGGAGGGGAGTGCCTAAAGGAGGGTGATGCTGAGCAGGAAGCCTGCCAAGGGTGTGGGCTGAGGAGCTGGGGTGACAAGCAGGCCAGTGGGGGGCGCATATTTGCAGAGAGCCTCTCCCTGATACACAGACCAAGGAATGTACAGGACCCTGAAGTGCAGGGTGTGACCCAATTCAAGGTCTATCTGGGAAGTACTGGGGCCATAGGCCAGCAGAGGCAGCCAGAGCTGGTAATAGCTTCTGTACCTAGAAGACAGCCTTCTTCCCATGACTCCCGGGACCACACTGCCAGGCCCAGTGTGAAGTCACTATCTTTGGAGGAGGAGGACTCTGGGCAGACCTACCTTTAGGGAAATCCTGGTCAGTCGCCCCTGACAATCCTCTTGTATTCATAGGATCCCTTTCTACTCTCAGCCTGGTTGAATTCCTCCTTCCTGATGCTCTGTCTCCCATGGGCCTACCCCTCACCATGGAGATTCAAGGGTTGGATCCTGATGCAAAACTCTGTTACCCGCCCACACCCAAACCCCACCCCCGGGGGCTCAGGGCAAGGACAGAGCTCAGTTAGCAACTGCAGAGGGGTTGGGGTGGACGAAATAGGCCTTGGGTCTCTGGACCCACAGTTCCTAATGTCAAATCAGATGCAGCTCACGGAGGGATGCCTCAGAGAGTGAATGTTATGGGCTCACAAATGTATCAGGGGAGGGATACAGGGAACTAGGCTTCCATGAGACCCCGCATCTGACCCTCCCCAGGAGGCTGGAGAACTCTTGGAGCATTAGAAAGAAAGAGAGTTCTGAAGCCAGGTGGATGAAGAGATCCAAGATTCGGCTGCTTCTCTACTTCTTGTGGACGCTGAAGAAGGACCTGGCTTTAGAGGCCCTGTTGCCCTTCATGCCCATTGGGCAGGAGGGGCAGAGGGCAGATTGTCTTTTAAAATGTGGATATGTCATTAACACCCATGCTGACACTCCACAACTCTCATGGAGTTCCTGTGTGTGATAAACCACTGCATTTCTACATCAAATGCCACTGTCAGTGACGATAATGGGAGACTAGGTCTGAGTGAGGCCTTTGCATGAATCAGCTAATGCATCTCAGCCTGTAGCTCATGACTCCCCACCCTCAGGGCAGAAGTAACCCCCAGAAAGTTCTGGCACGTACATGTCCCTCTTTAGTTAGCTCTGGCTCAGCTGTGTGGTTCCAAGATCACATGGGATAACACTTCTCCCATTCATGACCACGATGGTGTTACCAGCCACCACAACGGATCCTTTCCTGTCCTGTAGAACTGGATTTGGGAGGAAGCTAAAGTTCCAGACTAAGGACTTCCTGGACTTCCTTCCTTCCTTCCTTCCTTCCTTCCTTCCTTCCTTCCTTCCTTCCTTCCTTCCTTCTCTCTCAAGCCCCAGGCCTGTTACTAACACATCTAATTTTAGAATATTTTTAGAATGAATGGGAGGGACCACTCCAAGAAGGTCAAACCCCGGTGCATAAGCAGGAGCTCATGAGACTTGTGGGCTGAGGAAGGACCAAAGAGAAAACAACCAGGTCCCTCCTCTGCATGGTGCCAGGGTTTCTTTGCTCATCCAGAAGCCCCATGGAGGCACTAGATGTTTGTAGCTGGCGCTATCTGGTCCAGTTAAAAAGACCTCTCAAACACACAGAGGCCGCCAGCAGACGGAAGCCCAGCTCTATTTGGTTTCAGCATGGATTTGCCTCCAGAGCCAGCCCAACACACCCCCTCCTCTAGCAACCCCGCCTAGCTGATCTTGGTAGGGAGAATGCTCAGACTTGGCAGGGTTATGTCCCCTGCTTGAGTGTGGCCACCACTGAAGTTGTCTCGTGATGAGGTTTCTGCCTCATTTAGTCCCAGGTACCAAGGGAGTATCCACTAATCTCTTAGCCCATAGTATCATGTGAAAAAGATCTAGTCAATAACTCAGATGTGTCCCACATGCCTAGCCCAGGGAATATGCTTCAGAGAAACACAGTCTCATAACCCATGGAGTCTCCTTCTGAGGCCCTAACTCCCATGTACCCAGGCAAGACAGCAAATGAACACTATCCGTACTGACTGTTACAGCCATGACCTGCCAAGGATACAACCCGAAGTCTGCCTGTGTCTACTCTTTTCTAGATCCCATGTGGGTGGTGCAGCTTAAAGATCCAAGTGTTCATGATTTTAAGAAAACTGATTCACGAGAGAGATAACCACCAGGAAGCTCTGGCCACCGTCCTGCAAGTGCCCAGAAGGTAACACCTTGGTCTTCCATTCAGAACAGCCCCAAGTTCTCCCTGGACCCAGTATGGACTCGAGACTTGGAGGTTATCCTTTCCCAGTGATCACTGAGTCCCAGCATAGGCCAGTGTGTTCAGGGACCTCCTCTAGCCAGAGGAAAGGAAGCTTCAGCAATCTCCCCTACCAGGACTCAGCACTGACAAGTGAGTCTGAAACGGGTGCGAGCCATGTTCCAGAGCCTGTCAGCCTTCTCATGGAGCTAGTGCCTGCCACTTCCAAAACCCAGGCCGAGGCCATGGCTGGAGTAGAGAGGCTAGAGTGACGTCCCTCTTCCTGACTTGTTCTGGAAAGGGCTCCTGGGCAGCTGCAGAGCACATGGGGGCTGGGAGTCTCCTGGCAGTGGGTCCTGTCTGCCCCTTCCCCATGCTCCAGGCTCTGCCTGCTATGGCCCCTTGCAGGAAGTGGCTGGCCCTTGGGAGCTGGTGCGGCCCAGCAGCCGGGTTGTCCAGCCTACATGCAGGAGATGTCTGCACCCGCTGTGGCCAGGCTAGAGGTTGGCATAGAAGGCAAGGCAGGGGTGGGGGGAGCAGGAGGCCGGCCAGTGTCTACAGAGGCAGAGAACTACAAAAGCAGCCGAACTCAGGAGTCAAGGCTAGAGGAGGCAGGAGAGACTCAGCCAGGAATCTGGGGCTGGGGCAGGAAAACAGAAATAAACCAAGAATGCTACTCCAAGGAAATGAAATTCAAAGGAGGGAGAAACAGGAAGGAGCAAGTTATGAGTTGAAAAGGCTAGAAATTAAAAGTTTAGGGTTGTGTAGGTGACCAGGGAAGGAACAGGGAAGGTAAGAGGCTGAAATCAAACCAAGGGACAGAAATGGTACCTAGGTATGTCCGAATCAAGAAACTGCCTGCAAAACATAAACAACCACACGTTAGTGAAGGGGCTGCGGGAGGGCAGCGGGACAGCAGGGTAGCAGCAAGCGGCAACAGGGACAGCCGCCAGTGGCTGGCAGACCCATTCGGGGTGGGGCGTGGGGGGGCTGCAAAGCAGGGACCACGGAGCAGGAAGAGGCCCGGGATTGGCAAAGCGCGTGGTAGCCTGAGGCCCCGGGGCAGAACTGGGGCCAGGCCCAAGCCTCAGCCTCCATATGGTGGCTGGTCTCTGAGCAGCCTGGCCGCCAAAGGCTCCTAGGATGTCAGCCGTGTCCAGGGGACAGGAAGCTGGCCCCAGTGGGCCCTGGGAAAGAAGGTCACGGGCTAAGGAGCGTGCCTGAGACTTCTCTAGGGTAGAAAGGGCTGGGGTTGCATCAGCGGGAACAGCAAGGGCAGGAGCCAAGCGAGGGGCCACATCTGTCTTCCCGCTTCCTGGTACCCAGGGCCTCCATCCTAAGAGTGGGGTTGGAAGGGGAATAGGACAGAAGCTAATCAGTCCAGGGCCTGGGCCGAGGCTGTTTAACCAAAGTTCTGCCAGCTGAGGGACAATGAGTCTTGACCTCCTAGTTGTCCTCTGCCTAGCCAGGGTGAAGGATAGCGGGGCTGGTGGGGGAAGATAAGAAGACACCAGCCACAAGGTCCTCAGCACAAGGAGACAACTAGAAAGGGAGGCCCAGAAGGCTCCCACCTACCCACTGACCTCCGGCCCCACCCCTCCCCCTTTGCTCCCAGAATGTCTTGCAGTGCGTGGTCAGAGGTCAAGGGGGTTAAGTTACTCCCAGACCCCAAAGCACCTCTTGGCACTCAGTGGCAGACAGGCCCTACCAGCTCCTGCCCTGCCTCTCTGCCCAGGCACAGCAGCCTACACTCATGGGCAGCACCCACATTGGGAGTCATCCGGCTGTCTGCCTCCTCCGCAGGGTGCATTTGCAGAACAAGAGGAGACGGACGACCAGAGGAAGCTCTAGGTCCCAGCGCCTGTCAGATCGGGCTCCCCTGCTGCTCCTCGATGTGCGCTCCAGCCTATCCCTCATAGTGCCTTCTTCCCAAGAAAACACCTCCAGAAGCACAGGGTGAGGACCAGAGCCGTATGTGTACACCCTAGTCTCCGTCCTGCCCTGTCCACTGTTCCCGCTGCTCGGCCCTGGCTCCCCACTGAAGCTGCCTGTGGTGCTTAGGGGAGGACCTCCTCTGGTCCCTCCTCAGGACCAGAAGTGGAGCTCTGGGCCCAGGAGTTGGCAGAACACAGGCCACTCCTGGGACTCTGGGTCCATACAACACCTCACAGTGGTGGGATCCTCCTTTACCTCTCCAAGGGTGTCATACCCTCAAAAAATGTTTTGCCACAAATGGTCTCAGCTATAGTTCCTGGGTCAGCTCTTGGCTTCTTGGCACTGGGCTAAACTGAGTCACTGAGGAAGAACCAGACTGGGGCTCAGCCCCTGCCAAACACCCAGAAGTCCTTGGAAGACTGTGTCCCAGGCAATTTTGTCCAGTTGGGGCATCCACCCCGGCAGGATGACACTGGCCCTTGGCAGCCTTTGTGCGACCTCTGTCATACCCATGCACCTTGGCAAACCCTTCAGGGCTGCTAGGAACATCTCAGGGGCCCATCCCTCTACTGTTCGAGTGGAGATGGGAGCTGGGACTCTCCGGAGCTTGGAAAGTGATGAGAATTGTGTGTTAAGTGGTGACCCACAGTCATCTGTGCTCAAACTGCTCATGCTAACTCTGTGGACTCCGGACTGTCCCCTTGACCCCACCCGTCCCTGGGTTCCCTGCCAGAGGCTTCAGACCTGTTCACAGCAGTGTGGTCCTCAGAAACATGGCCTGTGTTAGCTAGTCTCCCACCCCATGCCACCACCCACCCACCCACAAACTCCCAGGGACAGGCCGCTGAGCCCATGCTGGCCCTCATCAGGTGACAGGATGATGTGAATGCATAAACCAGAGATGGGGAAGTGCGAACACGGGAGCAGAGAGACTTGGAGGCCACCACTCACTGCTCTGTCCCTCTAGGCGTCAGAAGGAGGGTGTAGGCCTGGAGCTGGCCATGGCGTGAGTGGCTGGGTCAGCAGACACCATGGCAGGCTGGCAGTTGACCTGTTCGGGAGCCGGTCAGCAGGGGTCATGGCCCTCTCACCCTTCTTGTGACTCACCGGTCATCCTGGGCTGGGCGGACATATCCGGATGAGAGGATGTTGAGGGACAAGATGTTGGGGTCAATCAGAGATTCGTCAGTTTCTGGAGTGTTTCGGATGCGACCTGTGGGAAGGGCAGTGGCTGGGTGTCATGGCCCCAGGAAGTCTAGCGGTCCAGTTATACCGGCCTCTGGACAGAAGCCAAGGTGGCAAGTTCCCTCTGTGACTGTTGACCAGACAGTAGCAGACACTAGGGTGGACAGGGAAGCTGATGGGGACCTGGTGGCTCCTGTGACATGGCCAGTGCCCCCCTGCTCTGTCTCCTTCCAGCAGAGGGCTGCATTCTATTCTTCGACTCTAATTACACTTCCTGGTGGATCTCAGCTGCCTAGTTTAGCGAGCTCAGGGCTTTCCACCTGTGGGACGAGGAGACCTAGGCCAGATGAGGGGATAAGCCTATTCCATTTTACGCTTAAAATAACCACAACGAAGAGAGAAAGCAGTATTGTCCATGAGTATGTTTTTCATGCACCAGACCTCTCCCGAGCCTCAGAGATGCCTGCTTATGGAGTCTACCTGTCTGTCTGTGAGACAGACACTTCATCTCATAATTCCTCACCCTGGAAGTGACTTCCTGCTCATTTAAAGGAGCAGGCAGATGGCTCACAAGTCCTCTGCTCTGGCCACAGAGTGGCCAGCTTCCTTCTCCTCTGCTGCACGTTCTGGGCAGTCCTACCCGGTTCCCTGCAGCTCTGCAGCATGAGGATTCTAGAAAGAGGAGGCAATTTGGGGTTCCTCGGCCAGTTCTTTCTTGATGCCAGACTCTCCGGGGCTTGGGATACCATGACAAGGAGGAGTTTAGGGCAAGGAGAGCCTGCTCAGAGCAGATACTCAACCCTGGGGAACTGGCCTCTATAGAGCTCTCTGCCTGAGGATCTGATGGACACACTTGGGCAGGACACAGAGGAAGGTGGGGACTAGGCAAGGGTCATTTATATCTCTCAAAGGCCACCTATATGGAGCTCATGGCCACCAGGGTCTCTTGTCTTTCCTCCATTTTGCTGGTCCCTCTGTACAATGTCCACTTCACAGAGCCTAAAAGACCCATGCCTTCCAGGGAGGGATGCTAGACTTGGGATCAGCTGTAACCTGAATGGGACCAAATGCTCACAGCAGTATGTCCCCTACTTCTGTTAAGTCCCCATGGCCACCCCAATGGCAGCTTTTGGTGTCTGTATTTTTAGAAGAGGGGAAGGAGGTGAGATTTAAGGGCTGTCCATCAGAGTGGGAGGACAGAGTGGGGGTGGGGACACCACTGGATGACAGCACAGGCAGAGCTGGCCCCACTCCAGAGATAGCTTGGTTCAGAAGCCAGGTACTAAGCCTGACCTTAGCACTGGAATTTCAGTTTGGACTCTCCCCATAGGACATTCTGACCACTGGTTTCACGCTTTTTCTGATCCCTGACAGAAAATCTGTGAAACACAAGTGTCCATCCTGGTACCCAGGCCAACCATCCACAAGCCTATATGTGGGGACACAGGATGATAGGTCAGTCTGAGGACGTCGGTCCTGAGATCCTACCTACCCAGGAGTGGGAGGAGATTCTAGATAGATATGTCTCGGCCGCAGGGTGGAGGAGCCTCAAACTGGGATGGATATCTACCCATGTTGCCAAATGAGGGTCAGAGGACAGTTTGGTCAAGCAGAGTTCAAAAGAGGAGGTCACAGAGAAAGACAGTGTTCTTGTCTTCCCTAGCAAGGTGTTCTAGAGTCCCGGCCCCACAGCACAGCAGTGTCACTAGCCAAGCTGAAGTTGTCCTGGAGTGAGTTTGGTAGCCCTACTGTCACATGTCTGATACCATCAAAACGCATGGAGCCCGCCCCACAAAGCCAAGGGTTGGAGTTAGTCTTCCACAAGCTAAGGACGCTCGGGACTATAGCCACCTCCCAAGACCAGGCAAAGCAGGGAAGGACTCTGGAGTGCCCCGGACAGCATGCTTGTTGCTGGCACCCTGATTTCCAGGACTGTGACACCTGGTAGTTTTCTGCTGTCTAAAGCCATTTAGTTGTGGTACTCTTTCAATGACTTGAAAGGCAACACAGGCTAGGTAGATACTTGGGATTGTAACACAGGCCCAAGGTTCTCCCTTTTAGGCGATAGGCTGAGGCACAGAAAGGCTTCGTGGCCTAGCCACAGGCACACAGCACAGGGCAGAACTGTAGTTAGAACGCAGGGTTTTGTCCACTCCTGATGTAACCCCCACCTGCCCCACTCACCCACAACCAGCTCTCGCACTTCCTTCCAGCGGATGTGACTTCCTGTCTCATGCAACAGCGTCACGGTTATCCGTCTCTGGATGCCCTGCCACACGCCAGGAGAGGGAATGGTCAGGTGACACCGGGGAGACAAGGGATTTCGGGGGCGGGGCAAGGCTAGAGGAGGGTAGGTAAGGCTCCCCACCTGGTGGAGAAGGAAGGTCCCCATGCACGGCATACCGCCACGGTGATCTACCACAGCGGGGATGTAACTGGAAAAGACGGTGACAGTGAGATGCAAAGCCCCTCCTCCCCCCTTCCCCCTCCCCCAGTATCATAAATCCCGGCCCCAGAGTCTGCAGAGCTGAGCTCATTGCCCACCGCCTTCAGGAGAGCAGGTCCTCCTGGCTGGCTCTCTACAAACAGCTCAGCTCTCATATTTTTCCTCATACCCTACAAGTCAGAGATTACACCCGATGACCTGGGCATGGATGTGTCATGGCTCCCGTGCTCTGTGCCTCAAGATTGGGACGCTCAAGGAGAGCCTGGGCCTCCCCGGACATCATCTCAGAGTCCCCTGTTCCTCCTTTCCCATGCTAGTCACTGTGCCTCCTCAGGGGCTCCCAGTGCCCTTCTCCTCCTCTTTAATCGGACTCCTGGACCCCAAGCTGGTGCCCAAATATCACTCACTCGCCATTGGCTTCCAGCTCACAGATCTCGAAGTAGACCAGCAGGTCGTACTTGCAGTGGCAGGGACCTGGGGAAGGTCGTGTCATCGTACTGAGCTTAGTGGCAGGCACTAGGAAGATGAGAAAACAGTGGGTCACTCACGGAGAGGGCAGCAGAGGCTGCACAGACACAACTTGCCCAAACAGAGGCGCCCAACTGGAACACCCACGGCCACGTCACACCTAGCTCTGCTCAGTCCGGGGCGGGAAACCTGGCACCGGTCTCAGGTGTGCGCCACTTAATGCTCTCTATACCCAAGCAGGAGCATGTGGCTTCACACAGCTGCGTATGAGGATGGTGGCTTGAGACTCCACCACTAGGGCGGCGGAGACACTGCTCAGTGTCCTATGGCATGCACGGGACCCCGCTGCCTGGCCTGTTACCTGAGCTACACTTGGCCACAGCAAAATCTATCAGTCCAAGTCTTGCCAGCACCAAACCTCATCCAGCAATCCCTAAACTCAACGCTGCTGGCTCTCCAATATGTCTACCTCCTGACAGCTTCTGCCCACACCCCCCCCCATTCCTGGGCCCAACCATGTCTGTCCACAGGGCCCTTTGTGAACTAAGTCCCCTCATCATGCCACCTGTCACTGGGTGTAAATATCTCCCTTGTGGACAGAGCTGAACAACAGAGCAAAAAGTCGTTATACACGCCACAGGACAGAAAGCGTCTGCTATGTCATCTGCGGCCTGAAAGACCGTTACATTCAGAGCAGGTCCACCCACACTTGCACCCGGACTTCCCCACTGGACTCAGGAGAACCCCACCCACCTGGCTTGGATAGCGGCATGACCCGGGGGAAGTGGCGACGTGAGGGCCTCAGGGGGCTGTGGAGGAAAGGCAGAGTGAGCAGACCTTAGGTTGGTGTCTGAGTCCTGGGGCAGCCTCGGGCAGGGCGGGCTCATCAGAACGCATTCATGTGTCCCTTATCCCCCGTCCTGTCAGACTCAGGAGAACCCAGGTCTCTGTACATGCTTACATATGAAAGGAGGAACTCTTAGGGCCCAGACACCATCCTAGAGGCTCCATGAGGCCCAAGGGACTCAGTGCCCCAAATAATCCCTGTTGCCTCCCTCTTCCGTTCCCATACCCTGGGTATCCCTCACTGTGAGGTCTATTCAGCTGAAGAGAGATGGAGTTGAAGAGGAGCGAAGACCTCGGGGTGGCTGGCATTGCCATCCCGCCTCCTGGACCCAGGGTGAGATGGCTTACAGGTACCTTTTTTTTTTGTTTGTTTGTTTTATGAGACAGGGTTTCTCTGTATTGTTTTGGAGGCTGTCGGTTCAGCCCAGCCTGGAACTCACAGAGATCTGCCTGCCTCTGCCTCCCGAGTGCTGGGATTAAAGACTTGCGCCACCACCACCCGGCTGGCTTACAGGTACCTTAACCTCACATCCCAGCCTCTTGAGACTTCCCTCTGTCCCCTCCCCCCCCAAAGAATGAGGGAGTCGGACAGATGTTCCCTTCCCGGAAGTGGCCAGTGGGCAGCAAAAGCTGGTTACGCCCTGGATGCTTCCTGTGCTTGGCTGATGGCCAAGGCTCTGAGAGCAATAGTCCTTAAAACCCAGTTCCAAAGGGGAGAGGAAGGCACGGGCTATGCCATCCCAAACAGCTAACGAGAGGGCATCAGGAGCATGGCCTCTGTAGCCTAGAGACAAGGACACTTGGGTGACCTAGGCAGACGACCTGAGCACGTCCTTGCAAAGAGGTGGGAATGGGTGCTGCTGGTAGTGGCCGAAGACCTCAAACACAATGGGCTGGCTCTTGATGTACTCGATGAAGGACTTGGTCACCTCTACTGCAATCTAGAAGGAAAAGGGGGAGGTGCGGGTCGTATCTCAAAGTGCTTAGTGTCCGTGAAAACACAGCACTCCAGGCCCTGCCCTCAGCACCAAGTCCAGCCATGTGATCCCTGGGGGTTCTGAGCCAGTGGCTGCTCAAGGCTGACTGTGACAGTTTTCAGGAGCTCTATTATTCTGACCCTAGGATCCAGTTTCAAACAGCACAGAAGCCCCTCCCCCCCCCCCCCCCGCTACCTAGCTGTAATGTCAGTATCCCAGCATGACAGTGGAGGGTCACCACCCAGTGCCAGACCGCCCGCAGGACAGCTCAGAGCAGAAAGAATGGATGGGAAGGGAAAGCCATGTTTAGCCTTGTAGAAGGCCCTTGGGTGTTGGGGGATAAGGGCCAGGACCTACATTTTGGACATGGTAGAAGCCGAGAGGGGGTCCCCTGCCAGTGTTCTTCAGGGGCTCAGTGGAGAAGGCCTCATCGTGGCGGTGGATAAAGCTGCAGGTCAAGAAGAGGGAGTTGGAGCAAGGACCTGCGGCCTCACTGGGCATCGCGTAAGCCTACATGGCCCCCCCCCCAGCACAGCCTAGGTGGCTGCGTACCCCTCAGGAGAGCACCCTCCCTCCCAGCAGCCCAGGGTACAGACAACGGGCTCACTTGAACTGGCAGAAGATGTCGGCATATTCAGCAGAGATACTGGATGCCTGCAGGACTGTCACACGGAAGGTGAAGGTGCTGCCTAGGCGGAGGTGGTCCAGGGCTGTGTCCAGAGGCCCATCCAGGGCAGTCTTCTCAGGGCTGTCTAGGAGGCCTTCAGGAGTCACGGCTGTTGGGAGCCAGAGCAGAGCGACGGAGCCTCTAGATTCCATGCTCTTCAAGCTGCGGCCCCACACGCCCGTGTCCCACACAGTGGGGCTGCACCTACCTGAGCAGGTGTTGTTGTTGACCTCATCGGCCGAGGGCCCGGAGTCAGCACCCTGACCCTGGCCTTCTACAATTCGCAGCTCCTCCTGGGAGGTCCCTGAGCGGGACATCCCTACCACAGGGCAGGACTCAGACTGGAACTGTGAAGACAGAGCCAGAGAAAGTCAGGAAGCTAGATGGCTAAGCTAAAGCCGCCCTGTCACAGGCTATAGAGATCTGTGCACCGGGACCGGGGTCTTTAGGGCCCTAAGCGGGCCTTGTCACTGGCCCCTCAGACGCATCAGTCACTCTCTAGGCCTCCACTCCCATTGCCATGAGAGGCCCACTTTGACTCTCTGGTTCAGACGAGCTGAGGTGTAAACTGCCTGGGAGGAACATACTGCCTGCCTCAGTGCAAGAGACACAGTGAAGGGAGGCTGGGAGCCATTCCTGGCCTTCAGTTCTAACCCCAGGGCACCAGGGAACTGGGGCAGGCCACAGGCAGACTCTTCCATCTTGGACATCCTCAGACTGAGAACCTGAACCAGACAGCTAAATTAAGCTCGTCTGGGAGGGGCACTGCATGGGATCAATCCCTCCACCGTCTCCTCAGGCAGTCCTTTCTGTGTGGGTCAGAGGGTGACCTCAACGGGGCTGTGCTCATTCTCACAGGACTGGGGGAAGGCAGGGAGAAGGGTGGTAGAAAATATATGGGAACCCCGAGAACAGCTACCCAAGAGGAGAGAATGGGGGTGCCTGTTCTAAAAGCTGCCTCCACTCACCAGCTCTAACCCTTGCTGTGTGAGACTCGGGAAGACGGTTGGACCAAGTGGGTCATGACAGACTGGGGAAGAGACATTGTGTGTTTCAGACAGCAAGGGATGGGACAGGCACAGTGCTCAGGGAGAGAGAAAGAAAAGACTCCAAGCCCATGGGACCCTGCCAGAGCTGGCCCTTAGAGCCTAGGGTTCAGTGGAAGGGGCTCCTCAGTAGACAGGGCAAGACTTCATAGTACCTTTTCAAAATGCTGGTCATCAAAGGAGATTTTAGCAGTCCCTGACTGACGGACACCCGAGCCATAATCCGGAGCCTCTTCATCAGCTGCAAGAGGAAGAAGCAAGCGGTTGGCCAGCTTGTTCTCCATGTGAACACAGCCAGCCAAACGGTCCCAGGACCTTGGAGAGGGTATAGGAACCAGGTGACCAGATTCTTTCTTTCTTCCTCCTTCCTTCCTTCCTTCCTTCCTTCCTTCCTTCCTTCCTTCCTTCCTTCCTCCCTTCTTCCTTCCTTTCTTTCTTTTGATTTTGGTTTTTCGAGGCAGGGTTTCTCTGTGGCTTTAGAGGCTGAACTAGCGCTTATAGACCAGGCTGGTCTCGAACTCACAGAGATCCGCCTGCCTCTGCCTCCGCCTCCCGAGTGCTGGGATTAAAGGAGTGCGCCACCAACGCCCGGCTCAGATTCTTAACTGTACTGAGCAGCCAGCATCACCACCTGCAGATCAGGAGTCAGAAGGACACACTGACCACCAGCGTATATTACCTCAGGGACCCAGAGGGATGTCCTTGTCAAGACCCACTCATCATGAGCCACAAGCCCTACACTGTCTGACCTGTCCCAGGTGTTGGGGAGAACCCCTCTCGATCCCTTCCACCACCTTCTCCAGAGCCCATGGGCCCTACCATGTCACCTCCAGCTTGTGAATACTCCTCTACCACCCAGTCAGCCAACAGTGCCTGATAGTCAGGACAAACCCAATGGGGTTCAGAGGATGAGCTGACCCCAACCCATGGACGCAGGGCAGAGCAGGGCAGGGCAGGGTAGGGCAGGGCAGGGCGGGGGTGACTAGATTGTGTTTCCTGAGTTCCTTTCTTGCATTGCCACAGGTAGGGAAATACTAGTTGTGACTCAAATACAGTGAAATCCAGTGTCTTCATACATGATCTAGGGAATCATAGTCTCTTTTCCTGAATATGACTCAGGGAACAGTGAGGCTGTGGTTGCTCACAGGCCTGGGCTCTGAGCCCCACAAACTTCCTAACTACCAACCCTCTGCTGATACACAGCACCCACTGAGTCCCACCGGGTTTACAGTGGCAGCCCTTTGAGGTAACCCTCAGCTTAAATTTGGAGAGAGGGTCATTCAGCAGCCCTCGCAATGACCCCCTAAAGGTCTTTATCACTGAGAATAGAGCAGGATAGGCACGTCTTCTACAAGGGCTGTGGACGAGCCCCTTGGCTTCTAGGAATACATGGACAACATGGAGACAACTACCTAGTGTGTTTGGGAACTGCTAAGTCAGACAGGAGGAGGAGGGCCTGGCAAGATGGAGGAGGAAGGCCCCCAGGAAGGAGGCACCCCTCAGTGAGGATGTCTCAGTAACACTTTCCAGCAGTGTGGCCAGGGTGGTATCGAAGTCTGGGCTCTTCTACCAGGTCATGATCCAGCCACCCCTGGCTTTCCTAGCTACCTGGGGCCTCTGGACCAGCACTGGGCGGGGACTAGCAGTCTGCAGGTTCCCTTGGCTGTGGAGAAAGCGGGGGGGGGAATGGGCTGGGCTAGAGGGCAGCCCGTGTCTCTGGGAGGCAGCAAGGTCATCTCTGGGTCCACCTGAATGTGTGATATGTGGGGGCTCCAAGCCAGAGCAGGTTCAGGCATCCTGGGCCGAGCCTGCGTGGCTGAGATGCACCCATCCAGTCCGGGAGAGTCTAGGAGGCCAGCGCCAAGGGCTCAACACAGGAGACGCTTCCTCCAAGCTCCACCCGCCTACCTGCCCGGGAAGGGGAGAGTTTCATGTTGGCCACGGGGAGGCCGGGAGTCCAGCGGAAAGCCGGCTTCATACTGGCTCCCGCACAGTGTCCTTCCCCCCACGTTTGCCTACAAAGGCAAAGCCCCCCCAAGGGACGCAGAGCCGCACACACCTGAGATCGCCTGCACCGCCACACGGAGGAAGCCTTTCACCTCTCCCTTCTCGCTGACGATGGCCACGCGGTGCACCAGGGGCACAGGGTACAGCAGGTTGCTCAGGTACACGAAGGCCCTGCAGGAGCAGAGCCACAGTCACAGGCCACCCTCAGGGTGGGCTTTGAGCTACAGCAGTGACGCCAAGGCCGGCTCACACACACCCTGAAGCTGCAAAGCAGAGCAAAGCGGCGAGGCAGCCAGGGCGAACGCAGTGCAAGGGGGGTTGGGTGGGGGGAGGGTTTTCAGGGCTCAGAGGAGACAGGAGGCAGAGGCACGGAGAGGAAGGAATGGGCCTCAGTGCGTGGAGGGCACAGCCCAGCTCAGCCTGGACTCGGCTGTCTGAGAACAGCCGAAGAGGGGGGTTTCAGCCTGCTTCAAGGGTTGGAGGACCTGGGCTGACCTGGGACAGGCTAGCAAGCCTCAATGTTTAAGAGTATGGATGCCTACTTCCCGCTGGGCTCCATCAAGCAACTCCTCCACGGAGCTCCATTAACGAACACCTGTGTCCTCTCAGCTTACCTGGAGGCCAGACACAAGCCGTCCCTAAGTGTCACCCTTCTTAGGGCAGGTGCAGCTCAGAGTGTGTGCCCGTCACTCAGAAGTCTGGGCCCTGCCTGACCCCCACCTTCCAGTCAACGCTGCCTACCGCGAGAGTCTTGCTGGTATCCTCTCAGTTGGCCTCTCCCACTGTGCCTTCTATGTGTCCCCGTCACACAGAAGTCCCCACACCCTCAGTGGTGCCCAGGCTCCTTACAGAATCATCTAAGCCCTGAGAGGTCCAGCATGGCCAGCCCCATCTCACTGCCCCCAAGTTCAACCTCCCACACGGGGCAATGGGTCCCTGTTACCTGTCTATTCTCACCACAACAGCCCATTTCATCCTCTGGGCTCCATCTTCTGACTTTGAGAATTTGTAGGCTTTCTGGTTTTCTGTACTTTTAATATATAGCAGAGCTCCCGACAAGTTGTTCCAGCAAAGCCTTCAAAGTCAGGCCTCAGATGGGGGAAGGAAGCTCTCTCAAGAGGCCTCAGTGGTCCCCTGGGCGACCTCTCTGGGACTTTCCCTAGCACAGTGCCCTCTCAGGAAAAGCTCGAGCCCAAACCCCTTTGTTCAAGGTACCAGTCGGGGCATTGTGGGAAGGATGCAGAGAGGAGCCCACAGAAGACTGTGAGGGATTACCCACACTAGGGCCACGTGAAGGCCCTGTGATGGTTGTTCAGGGCCCCTGAGTCCGAATGAAACCCACCTCTGCCGTCCCAAGGCACTGACCACCTAGGTTTCCTCTCTAGAGGGCTAGGGAGGCGGTGTCACAGCACTTGCTTGGAATCAACAGAGCCCAGGTTCCGGGCTATCCGGATGTGCCCTACTGGCACTATGGAGACACCCCAGTTCTGTGAGCACCCATAGGGGAGCTCAGAGATCTTGTACACTCACTTCTTAACCCTCACAGTCCAGAACTGAGGCAGGGCAAGGTTGTGACTAAGTCATATGGTTAGACTTCAGGAGGCAGCCATCCAGGCTCCCTACGGGGCCTATTGTAAAGTGGGGTGACCCCAGAGACTGCAGGACCAAAGGAAGAAATACATATCCTGGGACAGCGGATATCCCCCAATGCCTGGAAGGTAGTTTATCAACCTTGTCGTAACAGTGATACCCCTCGATTTAGCTAGTTGCGCTCTCCTCTCTTATGGATGTAAAGAGTCTAGAGTCTAGCATGGCCCATTAGAGCTGGTGGAATATGACACTCAGGCTCATTTCACTAGAGAAGAAACTGATGCATAAAAATATCAGGCAGTAACCAGGGGCGGCAGCAAGGGCCAGAGCTAGGATGGGACCCTCACGTTTCCCTCTAGTTAGCGCTCAGCCCTGCTGCTCACTGCTTGTCAGTGGCAACTGATCACAAATACATCTTGTATCTCCATCTTTTAGAACTTCCTCCCATCAGAGAGGGAAAATCCAGGCTGCCATGGCCCACATCCAAGCTGTAGGAACAATGTGGCCCACATCTAACACTGACCATAGCCCTGATCTCTCACCGGAGGCTGGGGTTATGCACTGAAAGAGACCCATTTGTAACTAAAGCCCCCGGAACCTCACGCTCCCCGCACAACTCAAATGGGAACTGTGGGTCTAGCTACAGCCGTTGGGTCAGATGTTGCAGAAGACAATGCCTGCCCGCCCCATCCCCGCTTTCTCTACGTGATCTATACAACCAGCACAGTCCACTTGGCACTGTGATGACGTCATTCTGCTAGAAGAGACCTCTGGACCTGGACTGTCTCTTAAAGGCAGTAACGTTTTTGAAGGGGCCACAGGCTGAACCTGGAAGACTTCTGTGCCCCACTCTGAGTAGAACTCACTCAGCCAGCACACCTGGGAGCCGAGGGTACCCGGGCGAACACTGCTCAGGGAGGCAACAGACTCCAGCCTTCTTCTTACCTGTCCTCCAGGCACAGAAACAACTAGAAGACAGTGTAAGCCACTGCAGGGCTTGGCATGCCACACCAGCTGACACCGGCTGCTCTCAAGGCCAGAAGGACACTGCCACAGCCACACTGGGCTAGATAAGGAGGCCTAGCATGGAGCTAAGAGACTCGGGGTTGCACAGAGCTATCAAGTGTAGCCTCTTGCTAGGTCAACATTTTCCCAACTGGTGCCCTCCCCAGCTCCTCCCCTGACTCTTAATGCTTGTCCTCCTCTCTGCAGTGCCTGTCCCTGTCCCCATCTTCTGGATGTGCATTAACTAGGAAATGGAAGCCTCTAAGCCCACTTCATCCGCCAACTCACCCACATCCCCAGGCCACCTGACATCTAACCACCGGAGCCCCTGGATGTGAGGAGGGCCCTGGTTATGGCCGTGAGACAACTGCCCAGGACCCAGAGCACCTTGAAGCAGACTAAAATACCCAAACGAGGGGGGGGGGCAGAGTGGGCAGAGCAGCATGTGTGGCGAGGCAGGAGGGGAGGAGGCAGCGCTAACCACAGATTGGTGAGGTGCAGAAACGCATGCTGGGACCCAGGGAAGCCTTTCCAGAGGGGACGAGAGTGGGCACCCCAATTTCGCTTAAGCTTTGGAGAGAGAGCCAGCAGCTACCAGAGGATAAAAGGAAAACCAAGGTGGCGCCCTCCTCAGGGCTGGGCCTGCATAGCTGCTGTGCGGAGAAGCCAATTCTTGCCAAACCAAAAAGGTCAGGGTGTTGCCAAATGAAGCCTTGCACAGAGCACCCCACAATACAGGGGGCCGGGCCTCTCATGGATGACTTTTGCTAAGTTTGGTCATTTTGTAAAATCTCAAATCCACAAGAGGGAAAACAAGGGTGGAAGGACCCAGCTCTTTTCATGAGACTGCAGAGCCCATACCCCATTTCTCCTCATCTTGTCTCCTGTGTTTCCTGACCCCTTGCCTACCTGACACCGGAACCACTCCTAGGGCCCAGCAGGCATGGGGAGTCTGGTACTATAGCCTAAGGCTTGTCGGGAGACGCCTGTGCAGAGCTTGTCTGCAATCTGCACCTCTTGCTTAGGCCCAGCAGGGTGAAAGGCCAGAGCCAGGGTATCTTGGAGGGAGAGGCTACCCATTTGTGTCCAGCTTGCGAGTTCATCGTAGCTAATGCCAGCCGATGACAGTTAGGAACACTGATCAAAGATCCTGGCCGGTGATATGGAACCTGCTACCTTCCGAAAGGGAGCGGGGCTCTCATACCAACACCTCCACTCAAGGAAGAAAGGAAGGAACGCCATAGAAAGATCATAGTCTGTCAGGACTTGTGCTCCAAGATCAAGAGTTCTGAAACGTCCGTTGTCCTAGAAGCAACCTTTCCTCAGCCTCTCTCACACCTATCCCAGGAAGTAAGCGGCCGTGTGTGTGAGTGTGTGTGTATGTGTGTGTTTGTGTGTGTGAGTGTGTGTGTCTGTGTGTGTTCTGTGTGTCTGTGTGTCTCAGTAAAGGGCATGTGCTCATATCACCAGGCTGGCCTAGGAGGTCAGGGGCTTGGAGCTCTTCTCACCTGCCAGGCTCTACAAAATTAAGGCAAGTAGGTGGAGGCCCTTCCTCCCCTGCCTGCCCTGGGTGGCCCATAGCCCTGCTCTCAGAACAGAGTGGCGCTGAACACATAGGGTACCTTTTCTTTGGACAACAGGGGAATAAGCAGAACCGGCCTCAGCTGAATCAAGCTGATTCCCAAGACAAGGGTTTGGGGCATCCTGCCCGGGGACATCTTTCTTCCCCTCTCAAATGTCCCTTGAGCCCTGAACAGGGAGTCAGGGAGTCTTGGTGATTTCCTATGGCCACTTCAGGAACTATCCCAGGCACTCAGAGTGGGTACCGGGAGCTCTTGGCTGCAGTTAGGTGCTCCAAGCCCCAATGTCTCCTGCCACTGGCTTCAGACTTCCCCGCTGAGCCAGAGCATCCATCTCCCACCGTGAAGACACACGGGGAGCCCGGCTCTCTCAGCCCCTCAGAGGCGAGCCCTAGCCTGCATGGCCCAGAGGGTCCGGTGTCTGCCCTGATACCCGATTAAGCCACAGCAGTGCTCCTATGCAAAAGAGCTGGTTCCTCCCCAGCATGCGTGCCTCAACCTCACCAACCTTCCTACTAAACTGAACAGGGGGGGCCGGTCGTAAAACGGGTCCCGGCCGTCGCACAGCGTGTGCTCCGGAAAGACGTCGTCCTCCAGGTCCTCCTCCTCCTCCTCCTCCTCCTCCCCCACGCTCTGCTCCTCGGCAGGCTCGGTGGTGTCGGAGTCGGGGCTTGAGAAGGTGGGGGAGGGGGTGAGAGCAGCCATGCGCTCGCTCATGCATGTGTTGAGAAGAGGGTAGCTGTTGCAGCCAGAGATGACTGAACTGAGGTTAGTACGACAAGACAGAAAGAAGTTAACACCAGCTACTCCAGGGAAGGTGGGGTGGGGCGGGGCGGGGCAGGACAAGGAGGACTTCTGTTTAAAACCAAACACCAACCATCAAGAAACGCTGCTTTGAAAGACAGAGAACAAAAACGCACCCAAACTCCCGGCTGGGAAGAGAAAACTAAACAAAACACCCCAGACTAACAACAACAATGGAATCCATGGTCAGTAGAAGGCTCTGGAAATCACCACCAGCAAGTATGAGTGAGGTGAGGGTCCAGGCTGGCCATGGCCAAAGCTCTTTGAGAACCTCCTCGGATGACATGGGCGTCGGAGACTGGGTGCAGACACCAGATTGGAAAACAAGGAAGGAGCTGGTAGTCTCTAACCTTGCCTCTGTGTTCCCACCCCCAAGATGCCAGTGACCTAGAATGCCTGCTTTAGGCCCCTGGGTGCTTGGGCAACACACACACACACACACACACACACACACACACACACACACACTCATGGACATGTATCATAATAGGTGTAGTCAGTACTAACAAGATGGCACCCCAGGTCTCCTACAAACGCTGGGCCTACAGGTACCTGATGAGGAATGGCTGACTTAAGAACAAACTTGAAATATGGCTCCTTCTTGACTTCAAGCCAGGACAGTTCAATGTCTGGGCTCTAACCCCACTGCCATCTCTCTCTCTCACTTTCTCTGCAAGGACAGGGCAGAGGTACCCACCTGCCCACCAGCCGGAACCAGGGGAAACGGTCATAGAAGGGATCCCCGCCTGTCACCACGTTGTCACAGTCTTCAACGACGCTGGAAGGCACCTCTGCGGCCCTGTCATACATCTCCCGCATCAGGTCCAGGCGCTGCCTGTTGGGGTTCAAAGACCATGGAGGCTCAGACCAGTGCCCATAAGTAGCTTGGCACCCATTTCTCCTAGGGCATCAGACCCGGCCTGGCTCTGTCATCATCGTCTTGTCACAGTCACAGGCTCAGAGGTCTGCCAGCTAGTAACCCCTCGTGGTCCTCAGAACTCAGCACCCACAGGAAACATGTGAGTGAGCAGGCAGTTCACCACCAGGGCTCCCGAGTCTTCCCGTGCCAGCAGAGGTTAGCTGAAATCAAGGCAGAGCACAGCTGACAGCTGACAGAGAAGCAGGGACACACCCGACAGCATCTCAGAAGCAGACTGGTATCCTAGCCCTGCAGGCTCTTGTAGTGAGCTCAAGTGAGGCAGGAAGGGGATGAGAAGACAAAGCTTTGTGGTGGTGGTGTTGCTTTGTTTATCAAGACAGGGTTTCTCTGTGTAGCCTTGGCTGTCCTGGATCTCATTCTGTAGACCAGGCTGGCCTCAAACTCAGAGATCCACCTGCCTCTGCCTGCTGGGATTACAGGGGTGCGTCACCACTGCCCAGCAAGACAAAGTAGCTTTAAATCTCACCCCTGGGGTAGGACAAAATGTAGGAGGAAGAAAATGAGACTGTGCCCACCTAGGGCTCAGTTTGAGGGCTGTGTCCACTACTGATGGTGTTATATTCAACCTTACTTCTAGAGGGGTAAGTGTCCACTACTGATGGTGTTACATTCAGCCTAACTTCCTAGGAGGACAGAGAGCCTGTAGGCACATACAAATTGAACAAGAAAAAGGTGTGCCTGCTAGCCATGTTTTGCTGGCCTCTCTATCTAGCTCAGTGGTTCTCAACCTCCCTAATGCTGTGACCCTTTAATACAGTTCCTCACGTTGTGGTGACTCCCAAACCATAAAATTATTTTTATTGCTACTTCATAACTGTAATTTTGCTACCGTTATGAAACATAATGTAAATATCTGTGTTTTCCAGAGGTCTTAGGTGACCCCTGCGAAAGGGTCATTCATCCCCAAGGGGTCATGACCCACAGGTTGAGGACTTCTGGTCCAGCTACTCCCTAGAGATAGCTCATTGATGAGCCTGCCTTCTGCAAACAAAACAACAGACCCCAAGTCCAGACCCACTTCCCCTCATTCTAAGGTCTCACATACCTGATCCGTGTTCTGTCTGCCATAAATCAACTAGGACAGTGAGAAGCTAGGAAGGCCACTTGCCCAAGGCTGGCCTCATTCCAGGGAGCTGGTCCATAGAGACCAGCTGCCCCACATTTCCTCAGAAGTCCAAGGAGCACTCTGGCTTTCCTGCTCCTGGCCTGGCCTGGTGCCCAGTCATGGCCCTGCAGGGTTGTGCCTCATTTCCAGGGCTGTGAGTTTCTACTCTCCTCATGGCAGATGTCTGTGCCATCGCCCAGTCACTTTACACGTGAAGACTTGGCATGAGCTAGAGGAGGAGGCCGAGGAGGCAGAAGCACGCTCACAACACACAAGCAGCGGAAAACTTCGGCGATGGCGGGACACTACAGATACCCTTCCACCTGCCCAGGTCCTCAGCCTTCTGGGGACTGAGGAGATGATTTCCTTCAGGCATGCAGAGTGGAGAAGCCAGGGCACCCCTGTCTCTGAGGCTCTTGGCAGACCTGGCTGGAGACACTGAGCCACTTTCCAGTGCCCTCTGCTGCCTACGTGCTCCCTCAGAAGCAGAGCACAAACACCAGGAGACGCACCGCCCACCTCACGGCCCTCCTCACCGCCCACCCCACCGCCCTCCCCACCGCCCTCCTCACCGCCCACCCTACCGCCCTCCTCACCTCCCACCTCACCGCCCTCCTCACTGCCCACAGCCTCAAGCACCTGAGCTTCTCTAGTGTCCAGTAGTGGGTGGCCCCGTTCTTCTGGTCCTGCACCTCCACTGCCACAATGGTTCGAGGGAAGGGCCGTGTCTCTCGGTCTTTGGCGGCCTCTGGAGGCAGTAGGTCTGGCGGTAGCGGGGAGTAGAGGGTGTCTGTGAGGAGGACGAACTGGAACTGGACCTGGAAAGGGGCGGGAAATGACCGTTTATCCACGCCTTGCTGAGTGGAAGCCAGGTTCCCAGGGGCTTCTCCCCACGCCCCCGAGATCTCGGCTCTATGGTCCATAGTTCACCAAACTGTTCAAGCCATCACTGAAACATGGCTGACACCCCCTCACCCATCCCCACCACTACTTGTGGACTCCCAAGCAGAGCCAGCGAGAAATCAATTCCAGCCACCCCAGTGCCTCCTCCAACCTCCACTCTGGATACCCCGCTCAGGCAACGGCCCGGTCAGCTCTAGGGCTGGCTGAGTGTGCTGTCACAGGGTCGTGACTATAAACAACCAGCCCAAAACTCATGGAGAAACCCCTCTGATGGGTCCCACCTTCTTCTTCAGCTCCACACTGATGGCGTTGGCCTCCTTCAGGAAGATGGCATTGCCCCATAGCAGGTCCCGTAGAGAAGTGAACTGGTACCACTTCCATTTCCGGAAGGCCCACAGTGCAAGTTCACACTCCCGCTCCGTCCACTGGACTGTGGGAGAACCAGTGGGTCATCAAGGAAAGCCACAATACAAACTACCACAGCCCGAGTTCCAAAAGTTCAAGATGGCTTGTCAAGGCCAAAGCACCTACTGAGTGGACTCTGGACCCAGTCCACACTATAGCTGGTCTATCAGATAAAGAGTAGTCCCTCTGAAGTCACTGAAACCAGAGGTAGATGTTGAAGGTCAGGCTAACTTGGAAGACTTTCTGGGTTCTGGCTCTCTCTCCCCAGATAGAGGCTCTGGTCAGCCCCTGCCATGCTGGCCTGGAGGCCTTATGCTCTCAACCCTGATTTCATACTAAGTCCTCTTGGAATGGAGAACAGAGACCCCAGCAGAAAGACCAGCCAATCAAGTAGTGTGGGATGCCCCAGGTCACCCAAAGATTAAGTGGGCTCCCCAAATGAGTTTCCCTAATCGATTGAAAATCAAAGCATCTCAGGGGTCATATCCCCAGTGACAGCCACCTGCCTTGCAGGACTGCCAGTGGGGAGGGGCACTCTTGGGAGAGGAAGGGCAGAGGGGAGGCTCACATGCCCTCTGTTCATGGGGCCCTCCTGAAAAAAGGAAGCCTCAGATGAGTTGCAAAGTGAACCAGATCTTTGGTGGTCTCCACACTCCACACAGTGGATAAAGCAAGCCCTTGCCAGCACCCATGGCTCTGGCCCATTCCCATGAGCAAACATGTGCCTCGGTGTGTGTGAGATGTGTGGTCACTTGCTTCAGTACAGCCTCCCAAATCCTGTCCATATGACAGTACCCAGAATTAAGGAGGTTTATCTCCCAGGGCAAAAGTTTAGACCAGTCGACTTCCTTGGAGCCGCCTGGGACCTGCTCTTTCAGGCCACGCTGGAGGGAGACATGCCACCTTGAGTCCTTACCCTCATCCTCTGGCTCTTCCTCCTCCTCGTTCACCTCTGGGTAGTACCTGGAGTCCATCTGTCTCTGTAGGGCCTCCAGCTTACTCTCATAGTCCTGAAGAGACAGGCAGGGCCTGTGGCTCTACCACAGAGACCGAGACCGCCTCACCCCAGCCCAATGGAGAGCAAGAGAGGGAGCTGGCCAGCAGGGAGGGTGGCTAGAGGGAGCAGAGGTCCACTGTCCCAGTGTGCTAGGTAGGGTCTGGGAAGCTAGCAGGGATCCTCACCAGCCTCTGCTGCTCCAGCAGGTACGTGGCCTCTTCCCGTTCCCGCCGGTACTGGTCCTCCAGCTCCTGGAGCCTGCAAGAGAGCATCAGGTGAACACCAGGCCAGCGGACTCAGCAGGCTGGCAGCTGACGCTAGGCCTCACCTCTGCTCCATCTCCTGCTTCATGTCGATGCCCTGCTTCTCCAGCAGCTCACGCTGGGCGAAGGCCCAGTCCACTGGCTCAGCAGGTGTCTCTGCACAGGGAGTCCGCTCACGCTCTTGGCGGGCCTGCTCAGGGTGGTTGAAGCGGAACACGTGGCTTTTCCCCATGATGATGCGGTTTCCTGGGAGGTGGAGGCAAAGCCGGGCTTGGGGTACTTGTGGTTTCCAGGTACCCTCAAGGGATGGGCGAAGGAGAAAGAGAAAGGGGTACAGGTACTTCATTTGCCCGGGTATCCCAGCATCACCTACCTCGGGAAGACCATCCAGCACCCCCAAACCCTGGCTCCAAAATCGTCTTTCTCCTTTGAATGGGTCCCTTTGTTGTCTCCCAAATCCAGCCCCTTGACTATGTGGCTTAGTTTTTTTGTTTGCTTGCTTTTGGTTTTGCGAGACAGGGTTTCTCTGTGGCTTTGGAGGCTGTCCTAGAACTAGCTCTTGTAGACCAGGCTGGTCTCGAACTCACAGAGATGGGATTAAAGGCATGCACCACCACCGCTGGGTTGTAGGAGACATTTGGAAAAGTTTAGAGATACAGAGTATAGAAGCCCTAGGATGGTGTAAGGAGAGGTTAATTCTGGCAGAAAGAAGTTCAAAGGATTTGGATGCTGCTTGAAAATCAGATGTAAAGACTGCCTGTGAGGTTTCAGATGAGAACAAAAATCCCATTAGGACTTGGGCTAGAGGCTATCTATGTTCTGGCAAAAACAAGAACACCATGAACAAAAGCATGGCTATGTTTTGTCCATGTGCTAAGACTGTGTGAGAGGCTGGATGTTAAAGTGTTAGATTAATTAATTTAGCGGAAGAAATTTCAAGGCAGCGCACCATCCAGCCAGCCATGGCATTGACTTTAACAGCTGCTTTTGGCCAGGTTTACAGAAAGAATGGGGAGCAGTAACCAGAGCAGAAAGATTTGAAGACCTTGGGAGTTTTGGTAGAAAAGAAGCACATTTATATGTTAGAGTCAAGAAAGCCACGCACACAGGCTGTCTCAGTAAGTACTTCCCTGTGTCCAGTCATCCAGACACTCAGTGGCCACTACAGCCATGATTCAAGCTACTCCTCAAGCTGGCAGTAGGTATTAGCATTGTCCAAGTGATGCTGATTTTGCAGATAAGTGAATCATTAGAGTTATATAGTTACAGAGGCTTCCCAAGAGATTTCAAAGTAAGTTCTGAAGGGTGTGTTTGTGTGTGTGCGTGTGTGTGCGATCCCTCACAGGCACACCTTGAGAGGATAAAGCTGTGAGAGTAAATACTATGTTACTGTGAAGACCCCCAGCATGCTAGAGATGCCAAGAACACAGAAGGTCTTCTGAGGAAAGCCATGAGCCACAAGCAGAGCCTTTCCAGGAAATAAGCCTCGTGGGCCACAGCTGGAGAGGCCAGAGGGCTGAGACTACCAAGGCCTTTGAAGTTCACGGCACACCACCGCATGCCTTGGCTTCTAAGCATGGAGCTGTAGGACTTAATGTTTGCCCTGCTGAGTTTTTGCCTTACTTCAGCCTTGCTCCTCCTTGCTAATTTTCTATCGCTCCCCTTCACTGTGGGAATGTAAACCCTGTCTCATCATATACCAGAAGTGCGTCATTTCGGTTTTACAAGGCCTTGCCTGAGTCTAAGAGGACACCTTACACTCCGGCTCCTAAGCAGTGATGGAACTTTATGTGTGTGGAGACTCTCGGAGACAGATGGAATACGCTGTGCATTATGAGATGGACACAGGCTGGAGACTACGAGTAGAATGCTGTGGGTCCAATATGGCGTCTCTCTCAAAGTTCATACGTTGAAGGCTAGGGGCCCAGCCAGCGGCATTATCGAGAGGAGATCAGATCATGAGAGCACTAACTTCATTGGCGGATGAGTTCACAGTGGATGAGTGAGGGACTAGGGGGTGGGCTTGTTGGAGGAAGTAGAGGATATGCCCTTGAAGGCTATATCTTGTTCCCAGAACCTTTGTATTCTGGCCTCTGCTCCCTGGCTCCTAAGAGGTGAGCAGCTCTGCTCCACCACACCCTCCCACAAAGAAGCTCTGAAAGCCTCTGAAAGTTTGAGCCAAAAGCAATCCTCCTCCCCCTGAATTGTTTCCCCGGGTACCTTGTCACGGCAACAGATGGTGACTGACTTCTGTAAGTCAGTTCCTAGAGAGTCTCCCTATACGTGTGTGTATCTCATTACTCATCTATCTGCCCAGCTCTGTCTTCAGACACATGTGTATCCATGCCTCCCATCATGCAGACAACAGCTACATCATATATGTGACTTTCCTGGAGGAGACTTTAACAGCTGCGTGCATGTGGGTTTTATAGCAGCAGGGTGGGGATTACAGTATCTAATCCCAGGAAACTGGTGTTGAAGCAGGTGGTCACCTGTCCCACGCTGACTGCTCTGTAATACCACAGTTTGGCCAACCATCTGTCTGTCTCCTGCCCTGTCCCCTGAGCTTAGTCCAACAAAGTGACCATTCAGGACCTCCTACCCGACTTCACACTCCACATTAGCCCAGAATTCTGGGAGCGGAGCCTCCTCTGCCTTTCTAGTCTCAGGCACTTTAGTCCTCGAGTGCCCCACTTGGGGCCAGAGGGTCTCAGGGCTGCTCAGGTGCCCACAGCAAAGCCACCTTTTGTTGGGATTAAACTATGCCAGAGAGGACGAGCACAGGGGCTTCGTCATGTCTACCCTGCAGTCCCCGAGTGCTCCCAGCCATACCTGACCGCAAGATGCTGGGCTCAGTGACTTTCTTGCCATTGACGTATGTGTCAGCTCCTTCACAGGGCTCCAGGGTCACCACGGCTACAAGATACATAAGAGGGGCCCTATAAGAGGTCATTGCTTCAGTGGCTCAGCTCTCCCGGCCCCTGGTGGGCACCAGTCAGGCTCCTTATTCCTGGATGGCAATGGAATCTGACCATGAGTAAGACCCCTTGGATGAAGCCAAGGCTCTCAACATTTAGTCAAGGAGACACACGGGCCCAAGCCAAGACTGGGTGAGGGGCAATGCTGGGCTTCACTTCTCATGCTCTTACTCGGGTCTCTGAGTGGACAAGGATAAGAAACAGTGGCTAACATGCCCAGAAGGCCTAGTTCCCTCTGACTCATCTGCACAGAAAAGAAATAGGGATTTGTGGGTGGGAAAAATCCAGGAGTAACAATTGTTCCAAGAGCCATTTAGGGCCACCATCCCAAGGTGACCAAGTTAGACAGGGACTCAGGAATGGATTCGTAAGCCTGAGGGTGGTCAGATGCCTTCTGGCTTGGACACCAGCTCTGCACTCAGAGGCATGGACAGTGTCTGCACACCAGCTGGGAAGGCCCAGAGGCATGGACAGTGTCTGCACACCAGCTGGGAAGGCCCAGAGGCATGGACAGTGTCTGCACACCAGCTCTGCACTCAGAGGCATGGACACAGCGTCTACACACCAGCAGGGCAGGCCCAGAGGCATGGACAGTGTCTGCACACCAGCAGGGCAGGCCCAGAGGCATGGACAGTGTGTGCACACCAGCTGGGAAGGCCCAGAGGCATGGACAGTGTCTGCACACCAGCTCTGCACTCAGAGGCATGGACACAGCGTCTGCACACCAGCTGGGAAGGCCCAGAGGCATGGACAGTGTCTGCACACCAGCTGGGAAGGCCCAGAGGCATGGACAGTGTCTGCACACCAGCTCTGCACTCAGAGGCATGGACACAGCGTCTACACACCAGCAGGGCAGGCCCAGAGGCATGGACAGTGTCTGCACACCAGCTCTGCACTCAGAGGCATGGACACAGCGTCTGCACACCAGCTGGGAAGGCCCAGAGGCATGGACAGTGTGTGCACACCAGCTGGGAAGGCCCAGAGGCATGGACAGTGTCTGCACACCAGCTCTGCACTCAGAGGCATGGACACAGCGTCTGCACACCAGCTGGGAAGGCCCAGAGGCATGGACAGTGTGTGCACACCAGCTGGGAAGGCCCAGAGGCATGGACAGTGTCTGCACACCAGCTCTGCACTCAGAGGCATGGACACAGCGTCTACACACCAGCAGGGCAGGCCCAGAGGCATGGACAGTGTCTGCACACCAGCTGGGAAGGCCCAGAGGCATGGACAGTGTCTGCACACCAGCTGGGAAGGCCCAGAGGCATGGACAGTGTCTGCACACCAGCTCTGCACTCAGAGGCATGGACACAGCGTCTACACACCAGCAGGGCAGGCCCAGAGGCATGGACAGTGTCTGCACACCAGCAGGGCAAGCCCAGAGGCATGCACAGTGTCTGCACACCAGCTCTGCACTCAGAGGCATGGACAGTGTCTGCACACCAGCAGGGCAGGCCCAGAGGCATGGACAGTGTCTGCACACCAGCTGGGAAGGCCCAGAGGCATGGACAGTGTCTGCACACCAGCTCTGCACTCAGAGGCATGGACAGTGTCTGCACACCAGCAGGGCAGGCCCAGAGGCATGGACAGTGTGTGCACACCAGCTGGGAAGGCCCAGAGGCATGGACAGTGTCTGCACACCAGCTCTGCACTCAGAGGCATGGACACAGCGTCTGCACACCAGCAGGGCAGGCCCAGAGGCATGGACAGTGTCTGCACACCAGCAGGGAAGGCCCAGCACTGGGGCAGCACCATCTTCTGCAGCCCGTGGTGGGCAGACGGAGAAAACACAACTGCTCCCCAACCAGCAGGAGAGCATGCTCTCAAACCACTTCCACCCTAGAGTGGGCTCCATCCACATGGCCCCGCGGTTCCTCTGACCCCCCCCCCGCTTGCTTAACACACTTACACCCTCCTTGTCCAGCATCCCACCATGCCCCTAACCCCCTTCAAGGCAGATGGATCCCCAGAGCAACAGCCATTTGGCCACAGGAGTCACCAGGACTTTCCCAAACACCTTTCGAATAGAGGGTGTCACTCAGCTGTCCTCGGGGCTTATACGGTTCCCGTACCAAAGTGTGTTTCAGGGTCTACTTAGAGCCAGGAAGCTGGATAGGGGTGACCCACTAGGTCTCACGGATGCCTGGTCAGCAGATGGGGCAGGAGCGGGGGGCAACACTACCTTCTCCCCCTCCCCGGGAGTCACTCCGGAAGATGCAGTGCTCCTCCTTGATGAAATGCCCACTCAGGACAATGTCTTGCCTCCTCTCTGCATCTTCTCTGCCCACTCTGTTGAGGAATCACAGGCAATATAGCAGCAGGGCCTCGGGCACAACCTGTGTCCTCACTCCTCCATGCAGCCTCCCAGGGATGCCCAGCTGGGTTTTGTTGTTTGATTTTTGGTTTTGTTTTTAAATATCAGGGTGTATGTACTGTTGGGATATGGGGATGTGAGAGCGGGCCAGAGACCACCAGTGCAGCCCAGCAATATGGAGATCCAGACGCCCCCCAGAGGCACTTTAGAAAAAGCACTGTGGACCACACAGAGCTGATACCCAGCTCTCACGGGACAGTGTGGGATGGTGGGGGGCCCACACTCCCCAACCCACTGGATGCAGGCTGACTGGGGATGCTATAGCTCCCTCACCTTGTGAGCTCTCAGCTGCTACCCTTCCCTCCATCTGATGACCCATCTAGCCCCTACCTGGTGACTCCGTCTTTGATGTAGTAGAGGAGACACTCAGACATCAATGGATCCTCATTCAGGTTGACAAGATGAGGTGTCTGGGGAGAAACAAAAGGGTCACTCTCCTGGGGAGAAGCAGAGTCCCCACAGTGGTCATTCCCTGGCCCTCTGCTCAGGCACCAGACTACCAGCATGCTCAGACCTGGCCTTGCCCTCCCCAGCCTGGCAGAGAAGAAAAGAGACATGGAGGACAAGGGTCCCCGGGGAACCTTTAGTAGGGCGCCCAGGACCCCAGAGCCCCAAGCTCATCTGGCCTCACCGGGTTGGCAACTCCTCATCAGGAAAATGAAGGACAAAGAAAGCCCAGGGCCCAGACTCAGCCCATCCTGACAACAGCAGTCACAGCAGGGCCTGAATATTTTGTGGGGAACTGGGCTGCCGGGGGAATCTGGAGGCCCAGATCCCAGTTCTTAGAAGGCTCCAGTTAGTTAAGGCTTAGACGGAATTTGTGTTTGCACTCAGGAGGAGGGCATCCTAGATGTGTAAGGCACATGCTGGGCTCCAGGGCTGGTCCTGTACCCAACCCCAAGAGTCCTAGGCTCTGTACCATACAAGGATGCTCCGGAAAGGTCATTCCAGTGGAACAACCTGGAACCAAAGACTCTCCAGAGAAACTATCAGCGGGCAGGATGAGGGCCCTGGCCAAGAATAGTCTCCCCAGAGGCCTGGGAAGAACCAGCTGATGGAGTCATCCCTGGGCTACCTAGGACCTGCATGTTAGCATCCCAACTCCAGGTCAAGATGTCTGCCTCCGGTCTCCCCACCCATTGATGGCTGCCTTCTGCCTCCTGTCCAGGTCGTTCTTGCCTCAGCCCCTCCCACAGGCTTCTTAGGAGCCGTCTTATCCTCGTGTCCCAAGCAAGGGTCTTGTAAGGAAGAGGTGACAAGATGGGACTGCTTCCTGTTTGCCCCAAGGTACCCTGAGGTGAACCACTGCCATGCTAAACTATAAATCCAAGTGCACCCTTGAGCGTGGGTGCAGAGTCCCGACCATCAGCACCAGCCATCCGCCACTCTCCATCTAGGAAGAGCTCAGTGGAGGCGGTATAATGATGGCTCAGCAGGACACCTCCTTTCCCTGAGTCTCAGGAACCCTGAGGTCCTCACAGAGTCCCAAGCTAGATCATGGCCTTTCTCAGCCCTTCGCAAGCTTTGGTCACAGAGGTGTCTGTCCACATGCTCAGCCCCCTAATGTTATGCACTGGCAACATGGAGCCTTCCTTGGACCCTGGCAGAGATACACCATGGGCACTCCGCAGTGCTGTGTCCTCTGCTTCTGGGTGGTACACCAGTCTCAGAAGCCAGGGATATGTGTAATGCCAAAAAAGGCTCTCTGGCAATGCATTTCACATTTGGGCAAGTTTAAGTGAACCTCTCTGTGTGTGCACAGTGAACCAGATACAGTGTCTTGAATGGCCTGGCTAGAGCCCATAGGGCCTACACCTGGGTCTCTCTCCATGTTCCCCAGCCTGCCACCTCAAGCTATCACGTAATGCATTGTTTCCAAGCAGTCCCAGACCAAGGCAGGACAGCAGAGTCTAGGGAAGCTTCTGGTCTTATCTCTCAGATGTCCAAGCCACTAACACCACTTCCCTCCAGGGCAGACTTTCTTTGACACAAAGCAGGGCCTGGAAACTGCTACGGCTGGGGACCAGACTGTCTTCCTAGACGTTTGCCACTCTGTCTTACAGACAGTGAACTGCTCTGGGAAAGAAGGCCAGAAGCTTCCAGAGGTAGCAGACTCAGGGTGGAGGTAGGTCCACAACTCAGCTCTCCAGCCTGGGCATCTCCCCCAAGTCTTGCTACAATCTTGACGAACCCAGTCAAGCAATCCAGAGCCCCACAGGATGTTTCCCAGCCATCAGGATGTCCCGCCACACAATGGAAAGTCTAAGTAAGGTTGACTCATACCCGGGCCAGAGCCCCACCATGCTGCTCCTCCCCCCAGGGACCCTCCCCACTTTGACATCCACCAGTAGTAGCGCCACCTTGTCCACACTGACCTAGCTCCTACCTTTTTGGGAGAAAACACACCCAAGGTGCCACCATCTTCTCTCATGGCCACACCCATCTCAGCCAGCAAGGCTTCCCTGGGAGACAGAGCTTCGGTCAGCACAGCCTCAGAGGTTTTCAGGACTAGGCCCACTCCCAGCCTGTCCCCCCACTGCCCACCTCTCCATCCGGATGGCTTCCGTCCGCCGCAGCTTCTCCTCCCAAGTCTCGTTGAGCTCAGCAATGATCTTCTCTGTCTCCTGGGGAGCGAGACAGAGCATGGTGAGACCCCAGGCAGTGTGTGCATGTGTGCGGGTGGCGTGTCAAAGGGCACGGGGGAGCCAGGAAAGGGGTTGCAGAGCCCTGGGGCTCAGATGCCCAGGCCCCTCCCGGCATATGAGATTCTGGGGGATCAAGGTGAAGTACAACAGACTTTCCCGAGCACACCCCGTAGAACAAGGCCAGCAAACTAAATCAGGAGTGAAAAAGAAGCAAGCGTCCTGGAAAACACTGGGAGCAGCTCCCAAACATACCAGCCCTTCCTCGGGACACGGCCTCGCTTCTCATCAATGGCACTGGCCCTTGGTCCCTTCCTACTCACGTCCTAACCCCCCAATACTTCAGGTGAGCCCCCAAGTCCCAAATAGGCCATCTATCCCACACCTCGGGAGCTTTTGATCCTTCCTCCTTGGTCACCCTGTATTACTCCTCACACTGTCCCTTGTCTCCTTGGTCCCTCAGCCCCCAGGGACTGGGCTCTCTGTGCAGGCCACACTGCCTTTGGAGGGAGTATGAGGCTGGTGTTAGTTAAGCCCAGTGGTGGGAAGCAGGGACCACATCTGAGTTGAAAACCAGGCAGCCCGGAAATGGCTAAGAGACTGACCGTCCACCTCCCTTCTTGGTGAAGGCAGCTAGCAGGACGCCAGGCACAGCTGCCAAGACCCACAATGGCACCGAAGAGAGGCTGCTGGGACACCCCCAACTCAGCCACCGCGAGGCCCCGTTTCCTGTGCCAGCGCCTGCTCACCCAGTTCAAGACTCAGTGTGAACCTGTGCCTGACATTCCACACACGGGTCTCCCTCCCCCAGCACTCAGGGTCAAGGCCATCCAGAGATGTTCAAAGCCTTCAAAGAAGGGGCTGGAGAGACAGCTCAGCAGTTAAGAGCACTGACTGCCCTTCCAGAGGACCCAGGTTCAAGTCCCAGCACCCGCATGGCAGCTCACAGCTGTCTGCAACTCCAGTTCCAGGGGGCCCAACAAACCATGGCAAACCACCAATGCACATAAAAAATTTTTAAAAATAATTATGAATGAATTAATCTTAAAAAGGATCTTCAAAGGCGCTTACTTCCCAGGAGCTCTGTTCATTATCTGAACCTCGTACAGCCTGATGCCTGAATGCACTAGCTATTCTGGCTGCTGGGGGGGGAGGGCTGGCCACAGTGGCTCAGGGTGGCCGCCTGCCGAAGACTTCCATTATTATAGCACTATGATCGTGAGAGGTGAGGCTGTACACAGGGGTGTCCCAGAGGTCACAGGCAAGGGTGCCCCCACACTTCTCTAAGCCTCCCTTGTCCTACAGGCTGATGCCGGTCGCCCACCCAGGAGGGCCCTGGACCAGGGGGTCCTCACCTTCAGCCTTTCGATAGCCTCCTCGCTGCCTGGGGCAAACAAGATGCGCTCGTGGAGACTGGACACAGAGGCCGCACGGCTGGACAGGGCTGAGAGCGAAGATGAGGGACTCATGCCCACCAGGGCATTGGTCACTGTGGAGAGATTGTTAGGGGCTCGGCTTAGCTCGGCCCCGCCACAGTTACGGTTACTGTTCTCAAGGTCGAGCATGTCGAAGGCATGAAGGGAAGAGAGAGAGGGGGGAGAGAAGAGAAAGAAGCAGGTGGGGAAAGCAAGGGAGACAAGAAACGGGGAACACAGGCAAGGCACGGCAGCCTGGCCCAGCTGCGCAGGACGAGAGCATGCAAGGTCTCCTGCCACCCTCAGCCCTGCCACTCACCTGCCTGACCCACGGCCCGCTTCCCGCAGCAGCACCCGCAGCCCCTCTCTGCCTCGCCCCACTCCCCCTTCAGCCCCTCTCTGCCTCACCCCACTCCCCCTTTGCCTAGGGCGTGTTCGCAGCCCCCGGACTGGCATCCAAGGCCCGTGCCCGTTAGCGCCCCTGCACCTGAGGCCGAGAGCCCGCCTAAGCTCGCTCAGGCACCTGTCCTCCCTACACCCCAAGGTTCATTTCCGCCTTCTGCAGATGGGCTGCACCTGTGCTGCAAGCCAAGCTGCATTCCTCATCCCACTGAACCCAGAACGGGCCCTAAGACTACCTGGAGAAGGTGCATGGAGGACACTCCTGAGGGAGCCCCTACTCTTCCGCCACCCCAGAACTCCATCACCCTTAAAGATGGGGAGTTGGGCTGTGACACCTGGAGGAGAAGTGCCAGGCCCCTCCCAGTAGCAGACACACAGCAAAGCAGCAGCCAACACAGGACAGCACGGGGCACTGGGGAAGTGAACCCCAAGGATCCAGGCCCCAGGATGGAAGAGACGCCGTGGGGCAGGACTTGGTATCACCCTTGCTATGTTCAGCCTCAAGAAACGTCCAGTGACCCAGATGTGGGGATAGCTGGAGCAGGCAGAGGCAGGCCTGGGCCAGGAGCCAGGATAGCACAGCCTTCTGGCCCTCCAAGTCCTCGGGCTCTAACATCTGACCTTCTAGAGCCGTGGGCGCTCAGGAGTCTAGCCCCAGTTGCTTTTGGATGCACTCTGCCTATTTATTGCCTCTGTTTCCCACAGACAGCGGTGAACCAGGAACTTGGCTTGGAGACAGATGTAACACCCCATTGCCTAACAGCCCTGAAGTAGGGGAGGCAGAAGAGGTGGTGGGGGTCTCCCTCCCCACCCGTGCTGCCTTGTGGCCCCCATGACTGGGAAGAAAGCAGGGGGACAGAGCAGCAGTGGGGAATACACACATTTGGGTCCTCCGGGCACAGTGTTGGCTATGGGGAGGGCAGGCGGGGGAGGAAGAGACAGAGAAACAGAGCAGTTTGTCCCCAAAGGTCCATGTACCCATCTCACAGAGTGAACAGCTTAGGGGAAAGCAGGTCTTCAGGGTAGGGACACAGGACCCACCGAAATCCCAGCATCTGCAGCTGGCCTGTGGGCTTCCAGGAAACATTCCCTGGCCTGCTTGGGCCAGCTCCAAACCCAAAGCATGCAATCTATCCAGGCCAAGGCCAGAAAACCTGGCCCCGTCCTTGCCCGCCCGGCCTCCCACCCCGAGGCTTTCTGCCCAGGAGCTGGAGGAGGGACGAAGTTTTGGGCAACTTCAACACTTCCCAAATCTACACCACATGAGGCACACCGGGTCCCCAGGCCGGAGGCCCCTGCCCTACGCAGGGCAGACCGGCGTGGACACTCACTGTCAGTGATATCGCCCAGACCTTGGGCGTACAGCAGGTCTCGCAGCCTGGTCACTTCATCCTTCAGTTCTCGAATCAGCTTGTTGTTAGGATCCTCGTTGATAATGGCGTTACAGCGGATCTGTTTGGCCCGGTCTGCATATCTGGGCAGCAAAGGGATGTAGGAGTTGGGGGTAGGTCCACAGAGCAGTCCCAGGGGTGATCAGAACCCTGCCTGGTGAGTTCGGCTGGGGAGAAAGTCTTTGACCTAGGCTGGCGGGATGAGAAATCACCCCACCGCCCTAAAGGATAGTCTCTGGGACCAGCGCAGGAACAGCCTACAGGTGGGTTGTCTGCCTTGTCTACTTAGGGAATTGAGGTGCAGGGGCAGAATGCACAGGACAGCCTACCCCAAACTGACCACCCTGGACCTGAATCTGATATTCCAAGGTAGAGAAGGCTATTCTAAAACAGGGGTGCAAGATGCGTGTGTTCGTGGGGATGGCCACACATGTGTGTCACAGCTCAGCATGCTATTTGCCATCACGGAAGCACATGTGAATTTGACGGGTGACACAGGCTCCATTTTCCACAGAAAGTGTATACTCTGTAGAGGGCAACCATTCCCAACCCAACCAATCAAGCTGCCTTCTGCCCCCTCACTTCCCTTCCCAAAATGTCCACCTCATAGTGGGAGATTTGGGGAGAGCTTCTTGGACCTTATTTGCTAATTTAAAGTCCTCCACTCCCACAACTAGAAGTGTGGCTTTTCCAGCCCGGGGTCACGAGGCTCTGGGCCACCAGCAGACCTGAAATTTATCCTACAGGTCCCACAAGCACCCGGCACAGTTACTGCTGGCCTCTGAGTTCCTGGAGGATGCTCCCCAAAAGAACACCCTTTTCCTGGTGCTGTTGGCTGGACCATGGAAAGACGTGTTCTTGACCCAGGGTCCCTGCAGAACATACCTCAGTGTGCTGAGGGTCTCATCATAGTTGATGTCTGCTGGGCTCAGGGCCGCCACCATGGCTGTCCTTGAGTTGCCGCCTGTGGGAGGACAGTCTGTTTGTATACAAGGCTCTCCTGCTGCAGCTACAGTCCGTTTCTACACAAGGCTCCTACTGCAGCTACAGTCCGTTTCTATACAAGGCTCTCCTACTGCAGCTACAGGTGGAGATGATGAAGCCCAAAGAGAAACTCAACCCCAGGCCTGCGTCACGTAGACAGTGACAGGTCGGGCCTCCCGTGACTGCCCCTCAGCTCTCATAGCCATTTGCCCACCAAGGGCCTCCTTTTCCCTACAGCCAAGATAAGTTGTGAAGAGTTTGTTTTTGGTTTTCGTTTGTTGTTTTGGTTTTGTTGGGTTTTTTTTTTTTTGGTGTGGATACTTATTTCATTATCTGTGGCCAACATTTTTTTCTATTCATTTTTATCATTTCTATTTGAAATACTCTCCTCAGTATTCGACATGAGATTCTTGGCTTAGAGTCGGTAATAACGAGAAGGAAACAGTGACTTGAGTGTTGGCTAGCGAATCCTGTTAGGGTCAGCTGGCCCAGACAAGGTTACACGCTTCAGCTCTCAGGACCCCTGCTTGTCCAGGCCCACACTCTTGTCTGCTTTACCTCAGAGAACCTTGAGGCCATATCCCTGAGGTGTTGGTGTCCACTAAGTCTCCTACAGGGACTGTGAGGAGAGAATGGCTTGGGCACAGACCCCCCCACCCCAGAACAGTTATATGAGAGGATTCCCATGAAGCCCTCCTCTAGGGCTAAAACTATGGCCCTATGGCCTACTTCTTACTTAGGTCTCATCTCAGGTGGAGGAACAGGTAATTGTGATGACAATCCTGTCCTCTCACTGGGGCCCATCTACCCCTACAAGCTCCCGTATGCTTGGGGCTGCCATGACACATGATGCTGGCCCGAGGTGGATATCAGTGTAGCCACCTGTGGAGTGCAGAGCCGCATAGCCAAGGAAGCTGGAGAGAGGCACCTAAGATCTAGTTTATCACCCTGGGGGTCAGTTTCTCCAGCTCTGAGTGTACCCAGAGAGGACCCTGGGGTCACTTGGGAAAGGATGGGTTCCATGTTGAGTGTCCATCAGCCTTCATGTCTTCTCTCTCCCCACTCAGAATCCAGGCGGCAAGGAGAATGTTAATGTCAGTCCCTCAAACCCCAGCAGCTCAGCAGCGCTCCCAGAACCAAAGGCTAGGTCCCTATTACAGACACAAAACTAGAGACCCAGAGAAGGGTAGGAACTTGTTTAGGTGCCATAAACAAGTCGCCCACGAAGGCAGACACCAGGGCATGTGTTCTGCAGGTCCCGAGGGCCACCGTGGCCCCCCCAAATCTGCTTTGGTTCACCCACCTTTGCCTCAGGCCTTCCAGAAGGGCTGAACTATGAACCAACTGGCCCCTCTAGGGTTACTTCAGACTTGCCCAGAAAGGGCAAGAGGCTGCGTTGTAGCCGAGCAATGAAATGTTTCTTTCTCCCCAAAGAGATGGGCATAGTTCAGAGAGGAAATCAGAGCCAGGGAGTTGGCAAATGCTCACCCACTAGTGACCAGAAAATTGGTGCATGCTCACCCAGGTTTTCCCGGAGAAGCCAGGTCAATACGGAGTCTCGGTAGGGGATGAAATCTGTCTTCTTTTTCTTCTTGTTCTGTGGGAACATTCAAGGTCAAGCTTGTATCTACCGGAAGGGAAGGGAAGAGGAGAGGAGGGAGGGGTGGGGGAGTGGGAGGGGGCAAGGGGGGAAGGGAAGGGAGGCAAGTACCATGTTCTCAGTGCCTCCCTTCACTTCACCTGAATCCTGGGGTGCCATCTCCAGACAACTCCAGTCTGGACTGGGGTCAAGGCCATGACAGCACATCCTTCCGGCTCCTCCCTCTCCCGTCCCTCTGTGTCTGGGCCGCTCAACCGGACTCAAGGCCAGGAATGCTGGCATCACTGGTCACTGTCTCTTCCGCTACCCTCCCAGAACAGCAATGCCATCCGCCAGGGTGAAAAGGCTTCCCCACTCATGAAGCAGCTCCAGCGTCCACCTAGTCTCTGTTCCCCACAAAACTCCTTCCTGCCCCCTCAGAAGTCAACTCTGGGTCCGTCCTTTAATAATTTGCTCTCTCTGTGCCTCCCTGGAGCATGGACACCCTGCATTCTCCTGACCCTGGCTTCTTATAGACACCGGTGAGTGACTTAATAGCATTGTAAGTTATAGATACATAGTTGCTGTCCAATGTCTACTAGTTCATGGAGCTTTTGTTGACGAATTGATGACTGAGCTCCTGCTGTGGCAGCAGGCACAGCCCCTGTCCCCTGCAGCCTGCACTCTTGGGGAAGCACATGGGTTCCATCTCAAGGGTTGCTGCCTTTCCTCGGATGAAGACATAGTTCACCATCATTCCTAAAACAAACTCCACTGCCTCACAAGGGTGTACAGTTTGGATGTCCTTACGCCACGCCATCAAAGTGGGTTTCAGAACGGTTGCACCAGCTTCTCTATGAGCAGCATGTAAGAGTGTCTGTCATTCCCTCCTGGCCCTCCCCCAAAAGCTTGTCCACACCAGACGCTTTCTGTTTTGCCTCTGGAAACTCAGTACAAGAAAAAAGTATTTCCGGTTTGGTTTTCTAATGTCTGGTACCTGAGGTTGAATTCTCTGTCATACGTTGTGTTTCTTGTTCCCACAACCAAGGAGCCCAACAGGAAGTACCCCACGGTTCTACTGTCCCCATCCAATCCTCTGGCAGCCCCTGTCCAGTCATCTCTGCCTCTTCCCAGAACGTCTGACTGTGAGACTCTCTCTCTCTCTCTGTCTCTCTCTGTCTCTGTCTCTGTCTCTCTGTCTCTCTGTCTCTCTGTCTTTCTCTCTCTGTCTCTGTCTCTGTCTCTCTGCCTCTCTGTCTCTCTCTGTCTCTGTCTTTCTCTGTCTCTGTCTCTCTGTCTCTCTGTCTCTCTCTGTCTCTGTCTCTGTCTCTGTCTCTCTCTCTGTCTCTGTCTCTGTCTCTCTCTCTGTCTCTCTCTCTGTCTCTGTCTCTCTGTCTCTGTCTCTCTCTCTCTCTCTCTCTCTCTCTCTCTCTCTCTCCCCCCCCCCCACCTTATCAAGCCTGGATCACTGCTACACTGACTTTATTCTGCTGACTGCATGCAGACCATCTCACTGGCAATCTACATTCATGCCTGAGCCCGGCCCAGATTAAACCTGACTTAGCCCTGCTGAAAACTGACCCATTGCTTCCTATTAAATCACAGTCAAAGACCTCACACCCAACCTCAGGCCATGTCCTTCCTCCTCATCCACAGCTGCTTCCTCTGCAGGTTCTGTTCCTCACCCAGCAACTTCAAAAGTCACTCCATTCCTACAAGTTTTTATGAGGGTCCCTCACACAGCTCGCTACACTGTCCCCACAAGGTCCTCTGCCGCCTCACTCAGCCCCCCATGGTTACACACACCACCAGGGGTTCTTCACGTCACTGCACACAGACCCTCAACGTTCTACTCCATCCACTCACGGCTCCTCACACACTTCTCACGGTCTCTGGTGGTTCCTCGCACATTTTCCCCAAAAAGTTTCTTACTGCCCCTTAAAGCTCTCACAGAATCCCTTACATAATTATCCATTTTCAGTTTCCCCATACAGTCTTCACGGTGTTCATAAGTTTTACACAACACACCCCACACTATTCTCCCAATACGGTATTCACACCATTCATACAACTACTCTTTTTTTTTTTTTTCGGGCGGAGAAGGGGTTAAAGGCAGGGTTTCTCTGTATCATTTTGGAGGCTGTCTTGGAACTCACTCTGTAGACCAGACTGGCCTTGAATTCACAGAGATCCACCTGCCTCTGCCTCCCAAGCATTGGGATTAAAGGCGTGCGCCACCACTGCTCAGTTTATACAACTACTCTTAACTCATCATCAGTTCCTCCACAGTTCCTGCACAAGCTGTCCAGGTAGCTCCTCACAGTTCTTCAAACATGGCCACACAGGTGCTGCAGACACGATTCCTCACACAGTTTCCTCACACAATTTCTCCTAAATCCACACACAGCACCTCACATAATCCCCCAGTCGTAGACACAGCAATTACGCAAGCCAGTAACATTCCCTCCACAGTTCATTTTCTCTCAGAATTCTTCACCGTTCCCTGCACACATCCTCAGAGTTCCTTCACATGTTTCTACACAGCTCCTAGTATTCATCCAGCTGCCCACAGGCTTAAATTCCCCACAGTTCTTCATGCAAACCCTCAAGAGTCTTGGGCACATGCAGTTTCTCATGCAGCTTCCTAGGTTCTCACAGCTCTTCACAACGTTCACCTCTTGGGTCCTCACGGACCACAGCATGATTACAAACACTGTCAACTTGAAAAAAAAAATCTAGAGTCACCTAGGAGACAAATCCCTGGACACGGCTGTGGTAGAGTTTCTAGTTAAGTTCACTGAAGTGTGAAGACCCAACATAAACGTGAGTGACACCATTCCCCTCACAGGGTTGAGGTGGTCCCGGACTGGAAAGGAAGGAGAGCTGAGCTATGGTATTCATTCCCACTGTGCCTTCCCCACCATGGTGGACGGTATCCTCAGCCCATGAGCCAAATAAACCCTTCTCCTCTCTGTTTAAAAGATTTATCAGCCAGGCAGTGGGGGCACACGCCTTAATCCCAGCACCCGGGAGGCAGAGACAGGTGGATCTCTGTGAGTTGGAGGCCAGCATGATCTATAGAGTGAGATCCAGTATGTGTGTGAGTGCACACACACACACACACACACACACACACAGCAGAGGACAAGCTGTGGGAGTTGGCGGTCCTTTCACCAGTAGGTTCAAGGGATCAGAGTCATGTAGTCATGCGTGGTGGCAAACACCTCTACGAACTGAGCCAGCCTGCTAGTTCCTCCCCTTTTCAAGTTGTTGGGGATTTTATCACAGCGATGAGAAAAGAATCTACATGCACACGCTTCATTTCAGTTTCTTTAAAATCCTTCCTCATACACTCCTTACAGTTCCACAAAACTCACGTCCCTGGAAATTCCTCACACAATTTCCATGCAGCTCCTGCAATTTCACAATTTCGCCTCATATTCCCATAATACCTCACATACCCCATGGTTTCTGAAAATCCACGTAATCTGTCAGTTCCTGTCAGAACCCATCACCAAGTTCCTCAGGCCTTCCCCCAAGTTTTCTCACAGTTCCTCAAACAAAGCCCAGACAGTTGCTCACTGCTCTCTGCACATCCCCACCCTATAAAAACGCCATTCGCTCTCACTTCCTCACAGGCTCCCTTACAGTCTATCATACACTTCCTCACAGGCTTCCTTACAGTCTATCATACAGTGCCTCACAGGCTCCCTTACAGTCTATCATACACTTCCTCACAGGCTTCCTTACAGTCTATCATACAGTGCCTCACAGGCTCTCTTACAATCTATCATACAGTGCCTCACAGGCTTCCTTCCAGTCTATCATACACTTCCTCACAGGCTTCCTTCCAGTCTATCATACACTTCCTCACAGGCTTCCTTACAGTCTATCATACAGTGCCTCACAGGCTCCCTTACAGTCTATCATACACTTTCTCACAGGCTTCCTTCCAGTCTATCATACACTTCCTCACAGGCTCCCTTACAGTCTATCATACAGTGCCTCACAGTTGCCTACATAGTTCCTTGTGGTTCCCTCACACAGTTCCTACACCTTCTCACGCACTTCCTAACTCCACACTTTTCTCCTGCTTTCTCTCAAATTGCCTCTCAGTATCTCCCACACTTCCCTAATACCAACCTTATACCACCTTGGCTTCCCCACGTCAGCCCTTCCCACTGCACGCCAACCCCCCTTGCCTGTCTGGGTCCTCGCCAGTTCTCAGGTCTTCTGCCTGACGCCATGGTTCTTTCTAAAGCTTTCTATCCATTCAGATTGGAGATTTCACTGTGGGGGTCACCACTGAAGACTCCCCCCCATGTAGAATTCGGCACAATTTGTAATTACGTTCTCATGTTTCTGTTTACTGTGCTCCCAACTGTGGAGTAGTTTGTGTGGTTCATTCTAAGACCCAGCTGCTAGCACAGGTCCCAAGCTCAGAAGTTTACTTTGTTTTTTCATTAATGAATGAGGTGTTGACTTTACTGCTGAGACTTGCACAGCAGGGAGCAGGGGCCAAGGGCACTCTGTCTCCAACCCCTCTCCCTTGAAGTTAAAGAACTCAGTTTACCTTGTTGGGTCCAGAGTCCTGAAAAGCAAAGAAGAGAAAGAGCTTAAGAACCTGGAGCAAGGCTAGTGTCCAAGGGTACAGTGGGCAGAGAGGACAGGCTAGTTCCAGAGGAACAAATGGTAGGTAGAAGCCCAAGTACCTGCCAGGCATGTGCCATTTACTGCCCAGACACGGCTTGTCACCCTGAGCTGGTCATGGCAGGCAAATCAAATAAGAGGCTGTTGACACTCAGCAATCTTTGCCTACTCTTAATAATTTCAGAATAGGATGCAGTCTCTAGAATCCTTCCCTGGATGTTTTGGTGGGTAGACACGGCTGTCTGTCCTGTAGGCTGTCTGTCCTGTAGGATGTATCACACCTAACTCATCACCTCCAAGGACTGTGGGCTCCCTCTAGAGGATGGTCTGTATCAGACCAGCACTGGTCAGAGCTAAGCACTGCACTACCCATCCACAAGGATGCTAGCCAATGTGCTCGCGGTTGACATGCGGTAGCCCTCAGAAAGGTGGATGAAGGAAGCATGTTAACTCTTTTTTACAGGTAAGAAAGTTGAGGTTCAAGTATCTCTGTGAGTTCGAGACCAGCCTGGTCTATAAGAGCTAGTTCTAGGAGAGCCCCAAAGCCACAGAGAAACCCTGTATCAAAAAACAAACAAACAAACAAAAAACTGAGGTTCTAGAGGGTAGTAACAAGGATTGCTATCTTGTTTGCAGCTTTGTGGTACTCTCCCCATCTCTGGGCTTTCCCTTGAGTCCCAGCAACCTCTTTAAAGATAGTACCTAGGAACATGCATGGCAGACACCCGACTTTTCCCTGGGAGCAGGTGAGGGTCACACCTCTGTAGCCCATCCCACCAATTTAGCTCCAGAAGCCTGGAGCCCACTCACCATTTCAGCCAGGGCAGAGATGACCTTCCCCAGGGTGGTCAAAGACTTGTTGATGTTGGCTCCCTCCTGTGTGTGCAGAGAGGTGATCAGCATGGCAGGTGACTCCTGGAGCCTCTCCATCTAGCACGATCCCCTGGGGCCTGGTCTGTGTGGCCCGGGGCTGAGGCCCTGGAGCTGATCTCTGAGGTCACTAGGCACAGAGGATGCTGGGGCAGGCAGCTAACTGGCCAGAGGTCCAGTGTTCTTGCTCAGCTCCTATCAGCACCCTAGATAACCTCTCAGATGTCTCCACACAGTACAACTTACAGAGGCCCTTCCCAGTCAACAGATCAGGGGCATGGGTCAAAGGTAGGAGACACTCAGAAAAGTAAAAATGCTCCTTCCTGACATGCAAGATTGTTTTCAGAGAGGGTGTGCCCTCAGGACTCAGGCCGGTCAGCTCAGTCCACTGCTGCCCCACAGCCTGTCTCTCCTGGGATGGGAAACAGAAAGTACTGGATTTAAAGCTCAGTGAAGGACACGATGAGCTTACTCTCTGGCTAGCCTGTCCTGGTTTGCTAGAGCTGGGGTGCCAAGAACGCAATTCTGTCTACTGAAGACCAAAGGCTCCGGCCCACATACCCCACCGTTCCTGTTCAGGCTTGCCTTTGGTGGTGGCCCAATCTTGCTCCATCCCCAGCCAGACCTCCCGCCCAGCCCACCCTGGAGCAGCAAATGCTTGGACACTGAGTGGACTCACTGCTCTTTCCGGGTTGGACCTGGCCCTACCTTGAGTCGTGTGCCCTTGGCTCCAGTGGAGTCAGCGCGTTCACTGCCAGCCAGGTCCACAAGGCTGATTTTGCTCACCTGAAATGACAGAGGCATCACGTGCAATCTCCTGCTGCAAGCCCCGATCTGAGGCTGTGGCAGGGGCACCTTGTCCCCCTGGGGATTGTCTCATGAACCTCTTAAGGAGCTTCGGCGCACCCTTTCCCTGGGGCCCTCCATCTTTGATCCCCCAGGTCCCTTCTTCAGCTCCATTCACAGCTCTCTTGATGTTCTGCCCTAGCGAGGTACTGCACCGCCTCTTCAGAAGCTGCACACACCTCCACAGCCCTGCCTCCTTGGGCTGAGCATGCTATACAGCGGCACAGGAGGGAGACTCAGTTAGGTACTGTCACCATTTTCACAGACGTCTCTAATTGTCTGTGATGGGATTTGAACTCAGATCCACGAAAGGCCTTGGTTTTCAGCTGCCTCACAGGGCGCTGGTCGAGCTCTCTGCAGGGACACAGTCAATCACATGATCCCAGGAAGGCACAGCCGCTCCTGGCCTGATAGTGGATACAAGACTGACCCTCTCAGAGGAACTTTGTCCTCTCCAATGGCCCTCCTCTGCCTTCCCGAGCCTCTTACTAGCTCAAGGGGACAGTTGGGAGCATGGCACCAGGCCCAGGTGACCCCAGCACCATCAGGATTGACATGGGTCTTAGAGGAGATTCAGCTCCTCTACAGAGCTCTTTCCTGAGGAGTCTGAGAATGTTTGCACAGGAGGACCTTCAGATGAAGGGACACAGAAACTGACAAGTGGCTCAGAATGACCTTGCTACCCTCCCAGAAGCTCACAGATTAGATAATTAAGATAAAGACCCCAGGAAACACCCAGACATTGTCCCAATCCACTGAGAATGCCAAGGTGGGACTTCTAGGAGGGGCATCTAGGGACTGCCAGGGCTATGCTCCTTCAGGATAGGCACTCTGCCTAAGAAGACACTGTCCGCCACATGTTCTGTTCCCAGTTGGGACCCCATCTCTCCAGGGGGAGTGGGAGACCCTACCCTACCAGCCAGTATCAAGAGCCCACAAACACGACTGTGACCTTCCAGCCCTACCCCAAAGGCAGCTGCCACCCTAGGTAGAATCTGCCCACCCAGACCACTCTACATGCTCACTTTCTCTGTGGTAATGTTGGTCTCTGCATCGTGGCGCTTCTGGGTGAAGATGATGTTGAAGACGGCATGAGAACGGCTGCTAGTCTCATTCATGTTTGTGGCCGCCACGGTCCTGGGAACAGGAAGCTGTTTGAGGTTATCTGTCCCTTACCCAGTGGTCAGGCATGAGAGTTACTAGTGGTAGTAGTGTGCTCACCTAGGCCACTGGAACTCAAATTCCACTTGGCTGTGACCACACCGCCTGCCAAAACTCAAGCCCAGTTCCCACCTGCTGGTCCATCACGGAGGGGCTCAAAATACATATGGTGTCATATATATGGGGGAGGGCAGTGTCTCAGATACTTCCTGCTACTGAGCCTCAATGCCACCCAACTGGACAGCAGTCCTCACAGGCTCTGATGAGGGAAAACCCCATTGGGAAGGAACAATACCCATCACCCACCTCATGCTACTCCAGCCACTCTGGGGAGTCCAAGGAGAGTACCATGACCTCAGTAGCCATACCCCGCAGAAGGTAACATGAACCAACTAAGCTACCCACGAGGGGAAAGAGCTCAAGGCTGCCTGAGAGATGTGGGGGTAGGTCCCAACACAGCCCCCACCTGTCAAGCACCTTATAGGATCTCCTAAGATGGAGTTCACTACAACAACTCAGACCTGGTATGCAAAGGTCACACTGTCCCTCATATGTACTGAGGGACTTTATGAACAACCCCGAGGGGGGCTGTTGGGGTAGCTCAGGACCCATACACACACACACACACACACACACACACACACACACACACACACACACACTACCTCAGGAGCTGAAGGCACTCACCTGAGAGACCTGAGACAATGTGTGTCAGAAGGATCATCATGACAGTCAGTGTCCCAGGCTAAAGGAGATGGGTTGCTAATGGCCACCATGATGAACCTGGCACTTTCTAGACCTAGGCCTGACAGAATAGCTGCCCTTGGGCCCAGAGACTGGCTGGGAGCTATGGTATTGCTATGAGAGCCTAGTTGCTGGAGGCGACACAGCTGCACAGTCCATTTGCTCAGCCCATGAGCAGCCCTTACACAGGTGGAAGCCAAGCCTCTCTCAGGCTGACGCATGTCCTCAGTGGCCTGGCACATGAAGCCCATACCTCCTTGGGAACTACCACATAGACCTATCAGGAGATGAAGCCTCAAGGACCAAACAGAGGTGAGACTGTGGCTAAGGAGGAGCTATCCCACATACCTAGCCTTGTTCCCTGAGTCCATGAGGTCCTGGATGTCATTGTAGGAGGTCACAGCCAGTTTGGAGAGGTCTTCCACATAGGGACCCAGCAGAGGATGCTCCCTCACACGCAGGTTGCCTTTGTTCTTGGGGTTCAGGAGGTCACGGACCCGCTCACAGTAAATCTCCATGTAGCTGACCTGCAGAGCAACACCATCAGGACCTCGAGTGAGGCTAGGCTGCTCCATTATGACCCTGAGTGAGCCTGAGCAACACCATCAGACCCCAAGTGAGGCTGAGCTTCACCGTCAGAACCCTGTGGCAGGGCAGAGAGCTGATCTCTGGGAAGGGCACACAGGGCACCCTGGCTGTGGCTTCTGCATGAGTGTGGATGTCATCCCACCTCTAGCTGTCCAGTCCTCCCTCCATGAAACTGACTGGCAGGACCAAGCTATACCATCAGGAACTCCAAGGCAGGACAGTGGCTGCCTGCCTACAGGGCAGGGCATGCAGAGGGTACTCAGCCTGGATCAGACTACTCCCATCTGCCCGGCCCTCTCCCACTCAGTGAGACTGGCCACACAGCACAAGCCCCTATGGTCACTCTAGAGTTACTTCAGCTTCAAGTCATAGGGTAGCCCAGGCTCCGTGGTGTCTGCCCATACACTGGCAGACTAAGTAGCTATATAATAAACACCTGCTGGGGATGAACTTCCCATCACCCCTGATCCCATCACCCCTGAGCGCTGAGAGTCTCCCGAGTCCCATGTGGGCATGCTGACACAGGCACTGTGTGGATAAGTAACAGGAATAGATACTCATTCTAGGTCAGAAAAGCATCACCGACCACACATAGAACCCCCCAGATCTGACTCAGAAACGGGCGCCAGGCAGGAAGTCCTACCTCCACTGAGTAGGACATGTTGTCATTGGTCGTGTCATTGATCCGAGAGAAGAGGTCTTCACAGAGCTTCAAGGAGAGACCAAAACACTTTAGCCGATGAGAGCTGGTGGCCCAGAGCCCTGTCCCTCATGGTGCTGTGAGTAGCTTGTACCCAGGCAGGGCGCTACTTTGCTCTGGTCCCTCCAAGATGCACATTCCAATACAAAGGCCTGGGTTTTCTAACTCTCATCCCCCTGCTTAGTATCGGACCCTTTCCTAGATCATCTATTTGTCCCACTGTCCTCATCTGAGTAGAGGCTGGGGAAGCTGTTTCCCAGCTGACCCAGCATTCCTCCTTCTCTGACCAGGACAAGTGCTGGCCAGCTTGGAACCAGAGACCTCCTGCCGGGAGGAGAGAAGGTCTGGAGGAGGTTAGACTTTTAGTGGCTTCTGAGGAGCTGTCTGTATCTCAAGCATGTGATTAACCTTGTCCAGACTACTTGACATCTGCTCCTAGTCCTCACAGAGAGCACTCTCCAGCCAGTGCCTTATCTTGTGGCTATGCCCCCATTGGGCACTGTCAGAGGCTGATCCCCCCCCCTGCAGCCCATCCCAGGCCCTACCCCTCCCTCCTCTCATGTCACCTCCCACTACCCTTTCTAGGCCCAAACATGCCTGTGGGATGATGCCTTGTTGGTCCTTCTCTTGTTTGCCCATCATGGTATAGGACTTGCCAGCCCCTGTCTGCCCATAGGCAAAGATGCACACATTGTAGCCCTCGAAGGCATGCTGTAGCATCTCTTCCCCGATGTCCCTGTACACCTGCTTCTGAGAGGCATAGTTGATGTCCTCGGGCTGCAGAGAGAAGTGTGGTTGTAGGCGGCTATGGGCCCTGAGTCCCCGAGTCCTCCAAGCCCAAATGTGGTGCCTTGGAGTGAAAGGGTATGCTATATGGTACATCCCAATCCTGACCGGGAAACAGAGGGTGGCTGGGCAGCGGAGGGGAGTCGTGCAAAGAGATCACAGCAGAGTGTGGCAAGCGCAGTGACCCAGAGATAAGAGCTAAGGCTCCTGTGGCAGTGGTGAGTTTAGCAAATGCAAGAGCTGAAAGGAGGCAGCGCCCAGGGGCTCAGGGACTGTATAACTGTATAGGCTGGACATTATCCTGAGGGCCTCTCAGGAAGAAAAACAGCACGGCCAAGCCAAGGACACACCTGTGGAGAAGGACTAGATGGGGAGACAGCACTGAGGAAACCCTGGGCTACATTCACAGACCCAGAGGTCAAGGAGCTTGAGGGAATGGTCTGCAAGCTTCTAGAAGGAGCCAGGAAGAGGCGGAACACAGACAGGGCTTGATGTGGACTGGGCATGGGGGCTGGGGAGGGAGGAGTCTAGAGTCCTCTTATCTCTCAGCTTTCAGGGTGCTGGAGCTCCCAGGTAGAGCTCAGCTTTGGGATTTCTGAGTTTGGAATGTTTGGGAAAGGGGAGAAGACACGGGTGGATGGTCACAGCTGCAATGCTGAGACTGTGAGCAGCAGGATCTGGTCCTTAGAGGTTGGTGATCAACTCAGAGTGACCCTCCAGGTGAGCAGGGTAGTGTCTTCATTCCATTTTACAGGAGAACATGCAGCTGTGGGAGGTCTCAGGACTCCCAAGGGTCACACTACAATCAGGCTGGGCCAGTTTTCACAACACCAGCCTGCCTCTCCCCAGAGGCAGCTCACCGAGGTATGTGACCAGTAGGAGTAATCGAAGCTGAAGCTCTTGGGTGTCTCCTTGGGCTGTTTGGGGTTGACAATAGCTGCAAGGGACACAGATAATGAGGTTGTTTAATTCTATGTTATGGAACCTCAGCCATCCAGACTGCATCCTAAAGTAGAAATCTAGTACTCAGAGAGTCCCAGGCAAGCCAGACCGACCCCCAAACTAGAAGGGACAAGAGACCCTTGCAAACACACAGGACTCTCTGCCCTGCTCTCTGGGGAGGACTCACAGATACCAGAGAGCATCACCAGACCAGGCCTGTTGTCTTGTGACTACTTCCTGAAGACATCCACACCACATGTTCCAGCTCCCCTAGTCTAGGGTTCTACAGCCTACTGGTCTACCTGCCCTACTAGCACACTTGTGCCTCCAAAGTAGCTGTTATCCGGAACACCCTGTCACATTCCCAGTCCTACCCCTTGTAGGCACTATCATACCTGCACAGCTCATGTGGGTGTTTGTGGGTGACATGCTCACAGTCTTACAGAGGAGGTACTCATCACCAGGAATACCACAATCCCCTCCTCTCCTGTTGTCGATGAATGCCCTCTAGCCAGTTGTTATGACCCAAGCTCATGGGCCTGTTCCCTGACTTGTTTCTCTTCAGGTATCACAGTGTCTGCCTCCTCTTCCCTCTTCACAGAGGCCCCATTCTAGTCCCAGGGACCTAGATGGCTGAAGCATGGTCATAGTTTCACAACCAGAGACAAATTCGGTATGAGCACTAATGTGTCACTCCCAGTTAAGCCTGAAGTTTCCCAGGAGAGATTCCCAGTAGTCCAGGAGGCCTGCAGTGTCCCACCATAGTCTATGATTTCCATCCCAAACAGGCCTGACCCACAGCACCTATGCTCAGTAGCCATAGAGAGGGGACTTGGCTCCCACACCCTAAGGCTGTGTCCCCCAGACTGTCAAAGACAAAATACTTGTGTATGATGTAGGCTTGAGGACCCTGCCTGGAGTTCTGACATCCATAAAGGACGTGGGCCAATCACAGTCATCATCAATTCTGGAAAGCTAAGCTCCCCATCCCCAGGACTCTGTCAAGTTGAGACTAGTCTTCCTTAGTGAGAATCACAGCATAGCTCTTAGAATTCCTGGTACACCCACCAGCCTGCATCCAAGATGACTACCTGCTGTGGTACGGGGAGAGACCAGACACCTCTTCTCAGTCATGATTGCATTGTTTTCCAAAGCCTGAACCTACTTCAAAATGAACCCCCTGGTATGCTAAGGTGACTTAGGAGATGGGGGTCACTGCAAAGGGAGTCTGTTAAAGTGATATCCTCAAAGTGGACCCTCATCTAGTATGACCAATAGGTATCCTTACAAAACAGAAAAATTTGGGGACACACACTGCATCCTGTTAAGATAAAGATGAAAAGCAGGGCGAGAACTCCCCAACACCAAATCCATCAGCACCCCAGGAGCTCTGCAGGGGCCTGAGGAAGCTCCTCCCTCCCGCCTCAGAAGGCCTCCACCCGTACTATAAATCTGCAGAGTGTCTGCATAGAACATTCCTGAAGCTGAACTACCCTTCCATGGTTTGTCATGGCTGCTCTGGGAAGCGGAACACTGTGTGGTCCTGCAGTCCTCTGCCACTGTAACACACTCAATGGTCCCTAAGGCTCTATCTGGCCCAAGTGTCCCTGGGAGCCCTCTCTCCTCAGACCCTGCCTAGGCTCCTAGCCTGGAGTTCTCCCAAGCCCAGCCTTTGCGAGGCCAGCGGAAGAGCACAGTAGGTTACCACGGCTGCCTCTAGGGGACGGTAGTGCACGCCGGCCTAGTTTCATGTCCTTTAGAAACCCAGGAACAGTAGCCTCAATGCAGCCGGACCCTGGGCACGGAGGCGGGTGCCGTGGAATAACTGAAGAACCTTCTTCAGGGCAGCCTGAGCTGGGGCTCCCCAACCCCATGAGGAGCCCGTGACCTCTCGTTTATGCCACCATCACCCTACCTCTGTCAGCTCTGCTCCCGTACCCCTTGTGCTGTGGGTCAGGACTTCCACAAAGCCCCAAATTCCCTGTCCCATTCTCACTCCTGGACAGGCCTGCGCTCCGGACTCCATGCACCGAACTCCCCATCCTCTCTCACTCTGACGAGGTCCCGGGGTTAGAGACATCACTGCACCCATATGGACCCTAAGCTCCCTAGGGTGGGGTCTCCCAGGGCACAGGAAGTACGCAAACTCATTGGGGGTGGGGCAGCAGACAGTGAATGGGGAGGAGAGGTCTTCATCTCAAGTTGTAAGTGGTTCATGGAGAGAGTCTGCTGTGGGACCCACCTGCTTGCCCTTGCCCCCACAGCCTGTCTCCTGGATCCTGCAGTATGCTACAGAAATGCCGTCAGTCATTCTACATGGGGTCTAAACTCCAAAGAGTGAAGCGGTTCCCCGCAGCTCACACAACACAGAAGACCTAGATCCCAGAGTGCACCAGGCCAGGCTGTCCAAACACAGCTCCCAGCCCAACCCACAGAGGCCCTGTTTGGGGCCAACAGCCCCTCCCCCAACATTCTGCTTCTCATAAAAGCGGAGCCCATTAGGCCAGAAAGCAACTGGCTGTCCTGTGGCAGCAGGAGGAGGGCGAAATGAGGCCTCTGTGGATGGCCTGGAAGCTGGCTCACTGGATCAGCTCGTTAAAAGCTCCATCCCTTCTTCCCATCACTGTAGCTGCTCCCCCACGCCCAAGCAGAGCTCTTCCAAGACAAGATGCACAATATAAGGTCTGTGGGGCTTGCACAGAGGCTGCCACCCGGTGGGAAGGACAAAAGTGGGGATGGGGGCCCTGTGCAGAGTGACAGAGGGAAAGAAATTAATTGGGTAGTTTTTCTCAGAACCAGAATGTCCCCTGCAGCCAGGAACACAGCAGAGCCAGGGGGTGAGTATGCTAAGCAGAGGCAGGGGTAGTTGCCCCCTGACCCCCAGGCGTTTCTTTGAGTGGCTAGCAGACTCAGAAGTGACCTGGAATTAGGACTGTGGAGAGGACCCAGCATCACTTCTTAGCACAAGTGGGGAAACTGAGGCCTAAAGAGACGACCACCAAGGCCAATCCCAAGTAAACACAGGTGAGTCCCTCCTCCCAGGCTCTTTTATCGGTGGCTCTCCAGGAATTCACTTCGGGGGCGCATCCTGGGCCGAGTCTTCATTGTGAGGAGACCTGTCATGAGCCCACCCTGAGGCCTGCACAAGCCGCGTCTGAACCAGAGCCCACCCCTGAGAGCAGAATATGAGTTGAAGAGAACAGACCAAGAGGTGCAGACTGCCCGTTGTGTGGTGAGGATACTGACCACGAAAAAAAGCACCCAAACATTGTTTACCCAGATGACAACACACAGTAAGGGGACCTACAGGCTCCTGGAGCACCCACAGCGATTCCAAGGTCTTCCTCCTCCCTCACAGGCCTTGTGACCACCCAAGGAGGCAGCAATGAACACCTCTGAGACCCTCAACTCCAGCAGCCACCTGTGAGCTAGGAAATGACCGGCCAGGCGTTTGCACAGGTGCTGAACACTCTGTGACTTCTCCTCAGGAAAGGCCAGATAGCTGTTGGTGCCAGTCACTGGGTATAGTTTGGACCTGCAGGAGCTTGTGGAAGGCAACAGACAGAAGTCACATGTGACCCAGGCTTACGTGTCCACCAACCCTGAACAGAGGTTCTAATCCTAAAATGTAGCTTTTTAGGGTGGTCTGTCATTAACATTGTCATCTCAAACACTGGGTCATTCGCAAAGGACCCCTGTGTGCGCTCACCCAACCTAGGGAGTCAGAAGCTAAGCTCGCAGCTCCCCTAGTGGAGGAATGGGACACTGCAGCAACAGCTGGTCCTGCTGAGTACTGTTCCAGGTCTGGGTGTGGTTGTCAGATCCTGAACAATCCAGTGGCTTCCCACTGTGATCTGCCCATCTCTCTGCTGGTCCATCACATCTCATTAAGAAGCCTTCCCAATAAAACAATGAGCAAACAAGAGCCTCAGATCCCGGGCCTGTCCCCACCCTAGCAGTCAAATCCTGTTGCTGATGGGACCCTTGGGGCAGGTCTATGTCCCTGACCTTATGGAAGGGCTGTCCCCTGGCTTACCACTGCTTCCTACTCCCCCAGGCTAGACCATACCTCCCACTCATCAGAGCCTGACATGACCAAAATGAGAAACACAGCAAGGAACAGGCAAAGTGGGGGCTGGAAACCCAGGGCTATAGCCATACCCTGAGCTAAACAGTGTTAGCTTCTACCCCCAAATTCATAGTCCTGGGCCTCAGCCTGTGGTCTTATCTGGAAACCCAGGGCTATAGCCATACCCTGAGCTAAACAGTGTTAGCTTCTACCCCCAAATTCATAGTCCCGGGCCTCAGGCTGTGGTCTTATCTGGAAACCCAGGGCTGTAGCCATACCCTGAGCTAAACAGTGTTAGCTTCTACCCCCAAATTCATAGTCCCGGGCCTCAGCCTGTGGTCTTATCTGGAAACCCAGGGCCATAGCCATACCCTGAGCTAAACAGTGTTAGCTTCTACCCCCAAATTCATACTCCCGGGCCTCAGCCTGTGGTCTTATCTGGAAACCCAGGGCTATAGCCATACCCTGAGTTAAACAGTGTTAGCTTCTACCCCCAAATTCATAGTCCCGGGCCTCAGCCTGTGGTCTTATCTGGAAACAGGGTTTTTGTTGTCTTTTGTTTTGGTTTGTTTTTTTAAGTTTTTGTTTGCTTGTTTTCCTTTAACAAACAGGACCTCACTATGGAACCCAAACTGGGTCCTCCTAGCCCCAGCCTCCTGAGTAGCTGAGACCTGGGCTTGAAAACAGGATGGTAAAGATGTGATTAGCTGTTAAAATAGAGTCATACTTGCCGGGCAGTGGTGGCACACGCCTTTAATCCCAGCACTCGGGAGGCAGAGGCAGGAGGATCTCTGCGAGAGTTCAAGGCCAGCCTGGTCTACAGAGTGAATGCCAGGACAGGCTCCACAGCTGCAGAGAAACCATCTTGAAAAACAAAACAAACAAACAAAAAAGTGGAGACGTACTGAATTAACTTATGCCTTAAATCCTTGTAAAAATGCCACCTGAGGACAGGGAACAGAGATGCATCCAGGTGTGGTGGCACATGCCTGTGTCTCAGGCCAGCCTGGTCTTATGGGGTTGAGGCCAGAGTTCAAGGACAGCCTGAGCTACAGTGTGAATATTAATCCAGTTTAAGATACAACCTGAGACTATCTCAAACAACCAGCCAGAACACAGGGACACAGCTGGCAGGCAGACCAAGTGACAATGAGGGTGGCAGTGACAGCAGAGTAGCCACAAGCCAAGCCAGACAGCAACCACCAGACACTCGGAGAGGCAGAAAGGACAGTCCCTGCCCAGAGGTGAAGCTCCTTCCTTGATGTTGAATATCTGGCTTCCAGAACCTGAGAACAAATTTCTGTTTCCACAAGCCATTGTCTGTGCTCATCTGGTATCTGGGAGCCCTGGGAGCCCATGTGAATGAGGAAGGCTCGGGGCTCTTGGATGTGGGTTAGGTTGAGTCCAGCTAGTAGTCATGGTCCCAAGGTCCCATGTGGCTAGTAGTTGATGGTGGCCATTGTGGCCAGTACTCACTGGTGGTGCTTCCGGACATCTGGATGATGCACTTGGAGTCGCGGCTCATTTCCCGGGAATTGAAGGGGCGGACACGGACCGCCACCTTCACAGAGGCCCCGGCCATGTCTGTGGAGTTTGCTGGTAACTCAGCAGCTGCAGTTGCCCCAGAGAGGGCAGAGTCACCTGGGGGGAGGAGAGGACACACGGATTAGGAGCGGTATTCAAAGAGGCAGTACAAGGGTGTGTGGCTGTACCCACAGGACTTCTCCACTCCCTTCATCCTCCCCAGTGACACAATGTGGTGGCCAACCAACAGGACACAGGCATGGGAGCAGGTAACTACAGGTGAGGAAAGACACCAATTTCAACAGCACAAAGGCAAGCTGTGTGTAAGGAGCCCAACAACGCCAGAACAAGGCGGCCCTCCAGCGGGAAAAAAACTTCACTCTCTCCCAGCAGCTATAATGTGCAAATGGCTTCTTGGTGGGGGATGGGACTTTGTGTCCACTTCTTTTCTCACTGCTGGGATTTTACCTGGATTGAACTTGTGCAGATTTTGAGCATGAGTTAAGAGTGGGTACATTAACCACATGCTGGGGCAGGTGGACACAGAACAAACTCTGTTATTGTTTGTTTGGTTGGTTGTTTACTAGGGTGTGTCCTAGGTAGGGTGTATGCTTTCGCTTGCTTTCGTTTGGTGCTGTTTTGTTTTTTAAGAGAAAGAATATGAAGCTGGGTGGTTAGAAATGGGAAAAGAGCTGGGTGGAGTTTTGGAAGTAGAAAAATTGTAACCCAAGTCGGGCGGTGGTGCTGCACACCTTTAATCCCAGCGCTTGGGAAACAGAGGCAGGAGAATATTTGTGAGTTTGAGGTCTACAGAGCAAGTTCCAGGACAGCCAGGGCTGTTATTTAGAGAAACCTTGTCTTGGAAAACAAACAAACAAACAAAAAGTAAATATAACCCAAGTATATTGTACAAAAAATTTTTTTTCCAAGACAGGGTTTCTCTGTAACTTTGGAGCCTGTCCTGGAATGGAACTCGCTCTGTAGACCAGGCTAGCCTCAAATTCACAGAGGTCTGCCTGACCCTGCCTCCCGAGTGCTGGGATTAAAGGCATGAACCACCACCACTCAGCTTGGAAAATCTTTTAACTGAATTTTAAAAAGGAGAAAGTGGTGACCCTCACACCTATAGGGCTCCTTGACAGGTGTCAGTCTGGCCCTGCCTCTCTCTGGCATTGGTTTATGGGTGTGCTGAAGGGCAGGGTTGAAGCCGATGACCCCACACGCAGGCTGAAACTGGAGCATGGTGGCCCCTCAGTAAACAGCTTGGAAGAGCAGAGGCTGCAGGAGAAGGACAGACCTCCCTATCACTACGGGCAGACAAATCCACACAGAAACTGACCGAGCTGGACTCAAACCTTCACGGCAGCTCCTGCAGCACCAAGGCATAGTGTCAGCCAAACTGAGAGTGTATATCACCTTCCCCAAGTCTATGAGTGGCCACCCAAGTTTCCTCATGTTGACATCCTAGCTAGAGCTGAGAGTGGGCCACAGGCAAGCCCATGAAGTCCCTAGGACAAGAGTCCTAGGCAGTATGTATGCTCTAGTACACCTTGTGCCCTTTAAGACAGTATCATGTGATGGAAATAGGAAATCATTAGCTAGTAAGAAAATGTTTATGAGATAGATGACGTGGTAACGATCTCAGTCCCCTCGAATTTAGCTGCATAGATGCTTGACTCCTGTATCCCAGATATTCCAGCAGGATTTTTAGTGAAATCTGGCAAGATAAGATCTCTGGAAAATAGGACCCAGAACGGCCACGCCCTCCCAGCCCCCACATACGCTATAAAGTTGCGCTCATTTAAAGGCTGGCAGTGGCGTCTGTTCTAGTTTTATTTCTGTTGCTGTGACAACACAGACCAAAGGCAACATGGGGAGAGAAGGATTTATTTGGCCGGGCCTTCTAGGCCACAGTCTATTGTTGAGGGAAGTTGGGGCGGGAATCTAAAGCAGAAACCATGGAGGAATGCTGCTTGGTGGCTCATTTGCAGTTCATATCCAGCTGACTTTCTTTTACAGCCCATGGTCGCCTGCCTAGAGATGGTGCTACCCACAGTGGGCCAGGCCCTCCTGCATCAATTAATACTCTCCTATAGACAAGCCCACAGGCCAATCTGATATGGGCAATTCCCAATCCAGGTTTTCCTCTCATGACTCAAGGCTGTGTCAATTAAAGCTGATTAGAATAACACCAACACCGGGAGGCTCTGTGGAGAAGAGCATGTCCATAGACTATCTCCTCCCCCCCTTTAGAAATAGCTCAATATTGGGGAACTGAAGAAATGGCTCAGAAGTTGAGAGTACTGGCTACTCTTCCAGAGGACCCAGGTTTGATCCCCAAAACCCACACTGCAGCTCACAACTGTTTGTTTTTCTGATGTCCTTTTCTGGCCTCCGTAGGCACTGCATACATGTAGGACACAGACATTCATGCAGGCAAAACACTAACACGCGGACAATGAAAAATAAATTAAGGTCAATCTTGAACAACTATCTATTTTGAACCATAAGCTGGAACTTTCTTTTTGGAAGAACAGTGGGCTATTCCCACTCTGGAGCAAAGCCTGCAAAGCACCCCCGCACCCCTGCACCCCCGCACCCCTGCACCCCTGCACCCCTGCACCCCCGCACCCCTGCACCCCCGCACCCCTGCACCCCCGCACCCCTGCACCCCTGCATGCAAGTGGTCAGCTGGTGCAGATAGAACCCTTGCAAAGGATTCAGAGTTACTGAAGCAGTGAGGGTAACGGGCCAGGACTCGTGGGCAGGGGCTAGAGGGGTGCAGGGACAGGGAACACCGAACAGTGCTGGCTCCCAGCCCATTTGCATTCTGGACACGGGGTGAATGGCTGAGAGACTGGAGTCTTTCCAGGCAAAGAGCTGTTGCTGAGTGACAGAAAAGCCTGCAGAGCTGTGGTGGAAAACAAACGGGGGGGGGCCAAGAAAAGGAAGTGGGATCCCAAGGTGGGCACACAGGCAGCTCTCCCCGAAGACATCTGGCAAGTTCTGAAACCCAGGTAGAGAACTGAAGAGCCCAGGCCAAGAGCCTCTGAAAGTCAAAGTAAATTTCCGCAGTGGGAGGCCAGCACTGAACACCGCAGGGGCCATGGAGGCCCGTCTAGAAACCCAGGGATGCACAGCAGATGAGACCTGCCACAGCTTGGCCTCAACTGGCTACGGCTGAAGCTTCTAGAAGAAGTGATCTATCTCCAATTGGGTACAGCAGTGTCAGGGTCTGGGTGGCATCTCAGTCGGCACTGTGAGCCCTTACATCATAAGTTACAAGGCTCAGAGTTGGAGAACGACTCAGCAGTTTCGAAAAGCTGGCTGCTCTCACAGAGGACCTGGACACAGTTCCCAGTACCCATACTGCAGCTCACAACCAGCTGTAATTCCAGTTCCAGAGGATGCAGTGCCCTCTCCTAGTGTCCTCCAAGGGCTCCAGGCATGCATAGGGTGCACATATATACAGATGTGCAGACAAAACACTTACATGCATAAAATAAGAATAAATACATTTTAAATCGTCTGGGAAATACCAACAAAACAAAAGGCTGCAGGGCTTAAAGGGATGAGAAGAGGAAAACCAAAACTTCAAAAGGGGGAAAAAAACTACACACTAAACAGACCCAGGAATTACTGACATGGACTTTGAAAACATCATGACATCAAAACACAGAGCAAAGGGGAGAGGACGTCAGTGAAGGGGAGAATTTTACCAGAAGATTTGTTTTTCGAAGAAGTTCAAAAAATATTTATCTTATGTGCATGAGTTTTGTCTGGTGCACAGTGGGCCAGAAGATGGCATCAGATCTCCTGAACCTGAAGTTATATATAGATGGATAAAGATAATGATACATAGATGGAGAGAGAGAGAGAGAGAGAGAGAGAGAGAGAGAGAGAGAGAGAGAGAGAGAGAGAGGATATATGGATATATGGATATATGGATGCCACAAGTGCTCTAACTTCGGATCCATTTCTCCAGCCCTAGGATTGAAGACTGAATGAATCAAAAGGAAATTCTCAGATACATGGACTGAAATGAAGATGTGAAGACACTGGGTAGAATTAGGAATGAATACGACAAGTAGCTCGGGTAGAGTGGGAGGCATAGTCTGAATGTCCCCCACAGATTCGTATGCTGAGGTCTTAACCTCCAAAGTGTTGGAACATCTGCCAAACAACTGAGTCAAGAGGGGATACTCCATGGTGGCCTAGCTCACCTACAAAGGAGGCGTGAGACAGAACCCAGGCTCCATCACCCATGTGAGGACACAGCAAGAAGGTGCCAGAGCGGACCTTCCTCAGACACTGAGCACACCTCAGTATAGCCTTCCAGCCTCCAAAACTGCAAGAAATGAATTGCTACCATTTCAAAGCAGCGCATAGACTCTCTCTCTCTCTCTCTCTCTCTCTCTCTCTCTCTCTGTGTGTGTGTGTGTGTGTGTGTGTGTGTGTGTGTGTGTGTGTGTGTTAGGGGTATGGGCATGTTGATGCTGTGCCCTCTTCAATTTCTTTCATCAGGGTTTTGTAATTGTCATGGTAGAAACTGGTCCCCGAATCACACTGTAAAGTCGTGAGGACAGGCTGGGTGGGGAGATGGCTCAGCGGTTAAGAGCACTTGTTACTCTTGCAGAAGTTCAGCTCCCAACACCACACAGTGGCTTACAACCATCCACAACTTCTTCTGACCTCTGTGAGCACCAGACAAGGCACATGGTGCACATCATTCAAACACCTAAAATAAAATAAATGGAAACACAAGCGGTAAAGACAGGCATCTTTGCCTTATCCAGAGCCTAGACAAGCTCCCAGGTTTTTTCCAGTTGAATGTAATAAAAGTTGCAAGGTCATTCATTATTAAAGGTCTTTATCATGTTGTTACATTCATTATGTATCTCATTTGTTGGAGTTTTTTTCATAAAAGGAGGTTGAATTTTATCAACTGCCTTGCTTTATCTGTTGGAATGACATTTTGCCCCCCATTACATAAAGGTGCCTGGCTTGGTTACTTATATATACTGAACCATCCTTGAATATCTGCAAAGAATGCCACGTGACATTCTTTCCAATGTTGTTGGGTTTGGCTTGCTAGGTACTTTGTTGAAGATTTTGGA